TACTTTGCAAGAATAGCAGGGATTTTTCAGTGTTTCCCTCATTGTCTCAGGGACTTTAACCCCTTAAGGACACAACTTCTGGAATAAAAGGGAATCATGATGGAATATTACCGTCATGTGTCCTTAAGGGGTTAAATCTGACCTCACGGCTGCACTAAACACTTGGACAATGTCTCAGATTCTGAGACATTTCGATCGCATAGTTACTAATTACCTTAAAGTGTTACTCCAACCAGAAAAAAAAAGTATTTTCATTAGATACTGGTTTTGGTTAAAGTAACTGTGCTGTGTTGGTCTGCCACTAAAAATATAAATAAATTTAAAAAAAAACAAAGGTCAATTTCACCTCAATTCAGCATCGAGGTCAAGTTGTCAAGGCACCCCTATCCTCTACAGCTGAAGTCACTCTCCCTTGCCAGGGGGCGACTAAGAGGAGGACATGGGTGGCACAGAGAGGGGGTGTCGCCATTGGCTGTCAGATGCCAAATATGACATGATTTACATTAGCCACTTGCAACTCTTGTTCCAGGCTGGTTAATGACGCTCCAGTGACGCGGCTGGTAGCAGAGGAGTTAAACTTTGTGTGTGCAGTGTTTCATAGAGAACACTGCACAAACAGACTTAAAGCACCATGACCACTTAAAATCACTGAAGTGGTCATGGTGCTTAAAGTAACTGTGGCAAACCCTGCCACTGGAACTAATCATTTCATGTGAATAAGTGACTTTCACCAAGGGAATAACTACCCGAATGGACTTTCCTGTTATATTACTGTTTTTAGGCGAATGGCTGAAACTACAGAACGAAGGACCACCCCGGGTGGTCGTGTGTTTCCAATTAGGCTGAATGATACAATGTTGCGAGGGGATTAAGTACCTGTATGTGTGGCCGCCATTTCGCCTACCGAACACGTGGCGACGGCCATCTTGCGCACGAACAGCGGTACTTGGTTGTCGAACGCCTGGAACTCAAACCGGGCATTCGACTAACCAAGTACCGCTGAGACCTCCAGCATGCTCCGACAGCACGAATCAAACACACGAACGCCCCCGCGTTCGGTAGATAGGTTCCCCTAAATGAGGGGATTCATACGAAGGCTTGCAATCGCATGGATGGCTAGGCTGTTCGGTATTTTTAATTCACTGAAATAGACCGACCGCAGGGCCAGAATTCATGGAACTGTTTTCGGCTACTGAGTCCCTGCGGTCGGTCAAAACTTTAACTGTCTGTAACTCCCGAACCCCTGGTCCGATCTGGGTGAATTTCAAGTATGTTGCTCACCCAGATCGGATCTACCAGGGGACCCCTTATTTGTCCCTGTACCCCCTGTATTTAGGCCACATCCAGAAAGTGGGGAAAACTCTGTCCCCACTAATCTAAGTGCTAATCTAAGGGGAGGAGAGGGATGGGAGGTGACCATGTTAGGATTGGCTACTGTACTAATTATGAAAGTTGCCTCCCTTGCATGGGAGAAATGCATAAAAGCAGACATGTGAATAAAGCTGACAGTTGACTCCCAGACTATGTGTCGTCTAATCCTTGGGGAGGTGGATTATGCTGTGTTCCTGTGATTTTGTATGCTGAATCTTTGTTCCCAGCGGAGATCCATTGGATTAACCCCTGCTCCTCCGCTCCGCCCTTTAACCTATTGAGGATAATACTGACAGCAGGATCTATTTCCAGTATATATCCTTCAGTTATTCCGATATTCGTCATCAGGACGCAAAACATTCTGCAATGGAGCAGAGAGTCTTCCCATGAAAAGAGATGGCTATTTTATAAGCAAAGACAGCCATGACATCACACAGACATTCAACTTGGGCATTACCTGGTATGATGTAACTGAACCTGCATATAACGTGTCCAGGCTCAGATGGTACTTCTGAAATCCCCAGTGCTGTCACCTATGCTTTTTTTTTTAAATTTTTTTACTTTTTTGAATTCCTAAAATATTCTCCCAAATTTGTGATGTATGTGACTAATCAAACTTGTTCTTATTAAAGCGTCACTGTCACCGTCTGGGAACTTTGCAGAATTTGCCAAGATCCCCAACGGTGACATCATCACCGGGGGTTTGGTGGCTGTTGCTGTTGAGGGGCAGAGAAAGGTGAGTTTTACTTACCTGAAACCTGTCCCTTGCAGACACCGCTATCTTTTTCCAGCGAGTCCTCTTCAGCTCCTGGCGTTTTTGTGCCAGGAACTGACGTTACTGCTGTACTTTTGCGCATGAACGAGAGTACTGCATTGAGGTCTATGGAGCATCCCGCAAGACCACGGCATCCTCCATATACAGAGGCAATTCCTTGCCTCCATCACTGGTGACGGCTGGGGTGACAGACACTTCTAGATGGGGATAGCTCTGCCTAGTGATTAAGAAAGTCAGGTGTAGGAAAAATACACAAGACAAATTAGTCCTTACTTGTCTTATATTTTTAGTTTGAAATAGATGGAAAAAAAAAGAAAGACAGAGTAGGAAAGAGGAAAAGAAGAGGAAGCGATTGGGAAAAGCTAAGTATGGAGTGACAGAGCCGCTTTAAATATGGCGATTTTGTTTCTAAGTATACAATGTGCCAAACCAAAAAATGGTTTGGCATGGTGTTATATTTGACCCCAGCAGATCCACCATCCACACATTCATATGCACATTCTAAATGTTCTCGTGTTAAATTACAATGCTGATCTGCTAATGCACTGTTTACTGCTAGCATGTGTCAATAATTTCAATGCCTTCCATCTAAAAATATTGACATTTCCAAGTCCATTTCATTGCTTTATATAAAGAACATTAAATATATAAACTGCGTTATCACATTAATAATAATATATTTACTAATCTTTTTTTATTAACTACCAACCTCTGTATGGCTGTACAAAGTAACAGCTATAAAAAGCAAGCTAAAGACCGGTGAAACATCCCATGGAATACTACATATCAAATGCATATATGAATATTGGCTCTGAAGGATTATATCACTGCTCTTGTGAGCTAACAATCTAGCAGGTTATTGGAGGAGATAGTGAGCAGACTGTGATGGAAGATTCCAAGGGGTGATAGGTTGGCTGGATGACATATATAGTAACATTCAAAATGAAATTGATATTGAAATTGATTCCTCTTAAATAGGGACACTTGGAAACAAATGTACCCAAGGTATAGGCAAGCTATGTTTGATATGCGCACTATGAAGCCTTACACCCCCTTTCTCTTCTGTACCCTCAACTGTTTGTGACAAAACAAAAATTGTCACATTTTTTTTTTTAAAAAGGGACACTTCGGAGCTTTGAGACACTTGGAATGTTTGAGATGGACAGATTATCTGATTGAATGGACACATATTGGTGCATTTGAGTGAATGGACAGATTGCCATTAATTACTCCTGAAACTAATTGAGATTGCCCTGGGTGCAATAGACCCTAAATATTAATTGATCCAGAATGGATTCTAAAACAATATTGTTAAGACACCTCCAGTGTCTTTAGGCAAAACCGCCGTTTAGTAGACCTTCCCCGTCTGCAGTAACAGTCTCCGTTCGCTTAATCTGTAGTATACGAACCAAATGCAGGGGAAGCGGCAATCTCCCGACCGAGATCCGTGAACGGCTCCAAACTCCCGAACGGCAATACACGAACTGCTGCTAGCCGCCGAACAACAATATTCACCAAGTGGCTTCCGTTCCATCCAGCAGTCTCTAAACGTGAAGAAGAAATCCCCCCAATAACGAGACAGAAGCTCCGCATTGAGGGTCAAACAGGATCTGGCTTTACTGTGGGCTACCTGCCCGTATTTATGCAGGTCTCCCACTTGGTGGACACTCCCCTAGGGGACCAAATGGGAGACTTAAATGACAGACAGATATGGGGACATTCCAGACACACAGTCACAGATTTTACCCACAGTGCATTATGATTCCCTCCCCTCTGCCCTGGAGTTAATTACCAAGTAACTCAATTAACTCCAGGACAAAGCCAGTCGCCATCTTAAATATAAAATCACAAAAGACATAAAAATATATAACTTCACAAAAACCGAACATTTCCCATTCGTATCACATATCCCCAGATAGCCTGGATCTGAGTGCATATTATTAGCGAATAGCGCTCAGATCCCACACACATAGTTCAATCACATAGTTTCGTATGCTCCAAATCTCCCGAACGGCCGGTGTTCGTATGCTTTCGTGGAGGCAGCCAGGCGTTCCGTTGTTTCAGCGGTGTTCGGCAGAAAAAGTGTCCGTTTTTAGTTCCATAGAAATAGAGCCAAACACCGCTGGGCTTTCGCTTGGTTTAAAATGGCCGCTGCCTCGTGGTCGACATACGAACGACGACTACCCTGAATTCGGTTTAATTGAGAAGTGTCTGCGGTTAACCACAACGTTCTAATTTGGATCAATAGGTTAACCAGCAGCACACTTCTCTCCTGGGTGGCCGTCCATTCGGCAGGTTTGTTCGGGAAAAAGAGTCATTCGAATGGCTGGGCTATAGAAACCAGCCATTCATACGAACGGGAGACAAACAGACGAATGCAATTAAAATACAAGCAGACAGATGGTTCTGTCACACATATTAATACAATGTTTCAAAAATGTACAAACTTTTAAGTGTGATGTAAGATGTTTTACAGTTTGAATTTAAATTCACAGTAAAGAAACAACCACTGATAAAAGTATTTTTTTTTTAGATATAATTATTAATATTAAATAATTCACAATTAAGATGTTACACAATTTAACATTTTGTTCATCCTCTATGAGAAATATTTTCACAAAACTATAAAAAAAATAGTTTCTACTTAACAGTAACAATGCAAGTTTCACCTGCCAAGAATTAACAAAAAATGTGTTTTAAGTTATAGAAGTGTTTGTGGACTATATAAACATGTCAGTAGAGTAAACCTGCTGCCTAATAAACTATTCCTTGCACAACCCCTGTCTAGTTAACATGTTCCCTGTGATAATCAGTTTATTTTACTACATGCTGAGCTAGCAGTCAGTGTGTGCTGGGCGGAACCATCGTGCAGGAGCTCATGGTGGTGGGGGAATGAATTAGGGGACGGACACCTGGTCCATTGGCTTGCCAGTCCCCTGTGCAGTGAGAAGGTGGGTGACATTGGGCAGGGTAGTGGAAGAAATGCAGTTTATTATCCCTGTGTGCAACTTAATATGATTTATTGTGCTGTTTCAGATGCTGCCAGTCAGAAGCCAGGCGTTTATAAGGCAGACCCTGTCTGTGTGCAGGTAACAGTGTGACAGTGCTGGAGGGCAGGGGTGGCCAGTATGGCTGTCAGTATGGTAGTCACATGGAAGAGGGGGAGAGAACAAGGAGGGGGAGAGAGAGAGAGAAAGAAAGGAGAGAGAAAGGGGGAGAAGAGGGAAAGGGGGGAGAGAGAGAGAAAGAGGAGGGGGAGAGAGAGAGAGAGTGTGTGTGTGTGTGTGTATATATATATATATATATATATCTGTGGGACATGGTTTATGGGCTGTTGCATAATAATGGTGATAAGGAGGGGACCTGCTAAAAGTAATGACATAATGGAATGCCCATAAACAATAATAAAAAGTGACTAGAAGGCCCGTAGAGAATAATGGAAATCAAAATATTTGAATTAGAGACAAAACTATAAGACATATCAAATAAAACGTTAGCAGACATAGTCTCCAAGACCGGTGGAATTGTTTAATATTGAGATTAAGTGGGATTATTGTTTTTTATGGAATGACAAGGGAGAACTGAACCCTCACAAATAAAGTCTTGGGTAGGTATTTCTGGCACAAATGGTAAAAAAAATTGTCACGAAAAGACTCTCACTGATTTAATTGAATGAGGTTTTCACACAAGATCAGCAATTTAGAAAACGTTTCCATTGGTTTGGTGATTTTACTCATAACAAGACTATTTGTCTTATTTGAATCAATAATGGGCATACATATCATTTCCTGTGTTTTTGTGTTTTCTTTTAGATTTACAGGATGCTGGCAGTTTCAGCATAGTGGTTCTGGTAAGCATTCTTATCTAGAACTGTCATTAAAAAATGAATTGTAATATAAATGAGGGTTTAAAATTGAGCAAAAAGGAGCCACATGTTGGGAAGGGGAGTCTTAGTTTTTACATGCAGCAGTAAAAAAACTGTCTGGTTGTTCTAGAAATAAGCTCTACCAAGTAGAGCTGCAAGCAATCCAATTTGTTTGGTTATAAATATAACCATAATTTTATAGGAGGATTTACCCACATATATACTGATCGCAGCTCCTATGTGCTATTCTGTTATACGCAGTCTAGTGGTTAAAACACAAAATTGATATAGGCAGCCCAAAGGGAGACCGGATTACCACTGCTTGATTGACAACTGCGGGTAGAGAAGTAACTTTTAAACATTTCTGAAGTTATAAGGGACTCTTAGTGCCGTGTTTTAATAATGCAAATGGTGCACGGAGTGATCCTTAATAATAAAATAAACATTTGTTATGTAGCTGTGTCAGATTTTTTTTATTAATATTTTTATTAAGCGAGATTCCACCAATTTAAGATGGGTATAGTCTAAAGAGGGAAAAAAATATCCATCAATATGTACAACAGATTATTTTCACATTGCCAAATAAAAATTTAAAAATTATGTATGTATACACTGCAGGAAGGCAGTGTTTTTAGACACTAATCCGCTTCACAAGAGTTTCTGCTTACCCAAACCCAGTTATGAATATAAGTAAGCTCTAAATTATTGCATGATTATTGTAACAACATGAAGACCTCAGACCTTGCTACATTAAAACTCTGTCCTTTCATAGTGTTAACACATGTCGCCTTTATTGCATTTCTATGTATGTATATATTCTTGTTTGATTTGGAGTGTAGGAACATGATACACAGTGAGGATAAGTTTATCAAGGATTATAACTGATTGTTTCTTCTTACAGATGTCCTGAAGCAGAGCACCGCCAGACATTACCGTTCACAACCAACACATGGTATTGGCAGATATCGACACTTACTACCGCCAGAGAAAGTAAGGCCTGCCTGCTTTCTGTTTATTGTGAATCTTCACTGTGATTGGTCATAAAAGGCATAATGAATAAGCTCCAACTTCATCAACCTTGTTATTTTGTTGGTATGTGAAGTGTGAAGTATTTATTTAGTATTCGTAGATTGTTCATCTTAAAATTAGTTTGTCAAGTTATTACATCGGGATATGTGTGCTACTTTTTCAAATTGTCAGTGAGTTAGTTTCTTGCTGTTGGGAGTATATCCTCACTGATTATATTAACCAGAGCTCAAAATTTCCACTAGCCATTGGTCTTGGTGAGTATGAAGGAGACCCTCCAGGATTGCAATGGCAAGTAACTTTTAACCCCTTAAGGACCAAACTTCTGGAATAAAAGGGAATCATGACATGTCAGACATGTCATGTGTCCTTAAGGGGTTAAAGCCCGGCCAGTCGTGTAAGACTTAAAATTTTAAGCCTTGAAAAATTCTTTCAGAACACAAATGGTTTAATGGAGCTGTTTTGTACCACTAGGACCCCAAAAAGAAAGGCAAGCTTGCAACCAAGGAAATAAAACCCAAGTCAGACTGTGAGTATGGATTTGTGAACCTTCAGGTGTCCGGATATAACATGACACTTGTCGAACACTTCACCCAGTATATCCATAATTTCTGCAACCGCTTCTCCATCAAAGTAGAGGAAAGGTCTGTGATGTTTTATTTGTTACTATTTCTTCTACATTACTGGATACATTTTATTTTTATTTTCTCTAGAATCAAGGAATCTTTTATATTAAATACAAAATTATAATTTCTTTGTGTTGGGTATCGGAAACATTTTGCTAAATTATTTTTTAAATCGCTTCAGTTCCTTAGAAAGACACAGAAGGAGAAGATAAAAGAATAAAGGGGATATCAAGGGAAATTTAATCTGGTAGTGCTTAGGTTTATTTCCCAGAGACAACTTGTACGGGCTGATATTATTTAATTACTAAGAGCAACACAAACGTTTTCTTCAAAGTGTCCAAGAAGCTGCAGTGGGATGTTTTTTAAGGTTAGAGGAAGCGGATATCATGTTACGCATAGCATAGTTGTGTGTGTGTTGATGAATGATTGGATGCCATTGTAGCATATGTGATATTGGGATTTTATGGAGACATTTCCTGGGTAGTAGCATTGGGTAGTAGATTTTTTTTTTTTTATGAGGCTGTTACAGTAGAAGTCAATTTATTTTACCTCTTTGCCAAAGAAAGAGGTCAGTGAATTTCTTAACCCCTACGAAACATGCGTAAACCTGGGGATTGCAATGAAATGCTGATAAAGAAAAAATCTGTTTCCGTCTGCAACTGAAAATCTAATATATGGGTTCAATTGATTTGTTTGTAAGTATTTTGAGATAAAATGTTAGAGCCATGCTAATAAGTTCTTTGTTTTATCAGCTATGCCAACCCAACAAAAACCACTGAAGTCATGCTCTTACCAGAACATGGTAACAAAATGTTTGTAGATTCCGTTCTTACATTCCACGAGAGAGTCATCCAGGTGAGACAGGATTGGGCGGAGAATTTGGATGTTTCACAGTCTGGAGGGGGGAACAGGAAAAAATATACCCATTTTCTGTCAAAGTGAAAAATGAGAAATATTTAGGGACAAAGGATTTGCTTTCTTCCTCATTAAATTATTGATTCCAGTTCGTAGGGGAAGCATTTACAAAATATATAGCTTTTATATTTCCAGATAGGTACTAAAGATATGTACTGGTATTGTTGTCAGAGTCCCAGAATGACTTTCAGAAAGGCTTTAATCCCCTTCAGGAGTTGAATGCATGAAAAGCCTGCCTTAAAAACATATTTGCCTAATACTGGTCCTTAAGGGGTTAAATGTGCCTGTGGATCAGTTTTGCTGCAGTTAGTCGTCTTGTGAAACTGCAGGTATTAAAATGTCATTTGGCCTTATGGAACTACATTCTCCCACATCCATTCAGCATAGCCCCTCTAATTTGTTTACCAAAGTCAAAAATAATTGAGATATGATCACTAGCAAATCTTAATAGATTTAACATATATGAGGGATGGAACCAAACCTCATTTATCATTGTGCAGATAGCTGTCCAGTGCTCTTCTCGTATACATTGTCTATGCTGAAAGGTTGGCAACCAATGGAACTTAGTGTTACAGCGTGTATATGAAGCATGGCTGGACTATCAACCCTAATATGTTCCTTCATCGATAATTCGGACATCACAAAAAACAGATCATATTTTATCTTAGAAGTTCTCAGCCAATTTGTTTTATTTTTTTTCTTCATTTAAGTCCAGTTTTATGCCCTGTTCTCTGACGTATATAAAATATTCACTTAATGTATACTTTGTGTAAAATCTCTAGCAGTTTTTCTCAAACCGGTCCTCAAGACCCACCAAAAGTCCAGGTTTTGTCAGTATCTCCATTGGCATAAAACAGGGAAATACATAAATCCTGAATTTGTGGTGTGCCATGAAGACTGCTCTTTGGAAGGAATTTTGGGGTTTTGACTGTTAATTTTTATTTGTTAAGGTGAGTGGATTGAGCTCCACGTTCAGTCCTATTCTTATTGAAGTCCTATTGATGAACCAGCCTGAAGGTGTCAATCTTCTGGTGAAGGAGGTTAGTGAATAGCCCGTTCCCTGGGAATAAATGTTAAAGGAACACTCCAAACACCAAAACCACGAAGTTCAAATGTTATCCCTTCATTGTGGGGAGGCTAACCCGTGTAGAATAGTTTGACTTCTTACCTGGGGTCTTCTGCTAACTCTTAGCCAATGAGCTATCCCCGTTTGAGAGCGTCAGACCCTCTACAGGAAATAGTGGCGGTGAAGTGCAGCGCCAGGTACAAAGGTAAGTTGTCTTAAAACATTTTGACTTTGTACAATTGGGTGGGGGGGACCTATGGCACAATAACTGCTATAGTGAGCTGTAGTGTTTATGGTGTTTGGAGTGTCACTCGAGGTACGTGGGAAATGTTTGTGCTCAATAACGCTTTAAGGGTAAAATAACTTACTTGGCTTAATATGGATGATGGAAATTATCCAAATAAAATCTACACCATCTGTTTCCTTTTTTAATTGAAATCAGAGAAATAAAATATTTTATATGTGCCACTGTGCTCACTCTTCCTATAAATCATCAGATTTTCTCATGACAATACTGCACATGGCTGAGTGTTTCACTGTAGTTTGGGCATAGTATTGAATGCGCAGTGTTGCCTGGGAGTGTACGACTTGGATTAAATATTTAGCATTATTCCAGCTAACTATGAAATATTTCTATAAACTTTTAAGGGACACTTCAGAATGGGATTGATAGCATATATAATACATTACATAGATACATAATTACAGCTGCAAAAAATGCAACCTGCAATAATCTTCATTCGTAAAATCACTACTGAATATGTTCCCACAGGACAATGGGAGCTGTGACCAGACAGAGTCATGGTTTTTGTCAATACAGAGGGGGGGAGGAGGGGGGTGGGGTGTCACGAGGGAGTGCCAGGAATACAGCTTTTAAAACTGCCCATCTCCCCAAGATGGAGGAGATAATTTACTTCACCTGCATGTTCTCCATGTAAGCTGATGCACACACACTACCAGTTCCCTCTTAAGCTCTGAAGAATGCCCAAGCAGCAGCCACACTGTGAGCAAGCATTCTGATATCGGATCTGATGAGTGGAACTGCCATATTTCATAAAACAGCCCCATAGCCCAGAATGAATAGGGGAGCCTTTTCCTACTAGGGGAGGTGTTTACCTGCTGTTTTAAAATGAGTAGAAATATCTGTAATTTTGTAACGGTTTTAGCATATTTTATTGAATACCTTATAAATGAGTGTCACTTTTCAATTTTTGTTCCTTTTATAGTCGCAGTTTTTGTTTGTGTGGCATCCATTCTAATACCAGTGTCTAATCTTTTTCCCCAGCACACAGAGGCAGATTACCAATCCAGATTCAAGTCTCGTCCCGACCTGGAAAACCTAATGGCTTCAATTAATTGATATTCTTTGAGATCCTATACTTAAAATCATGTTTTTTGTCACACTTGCTGTCGCCACATTTACAGTAACCCACTCTTCACTGTCGCCTTCACATCTGAGATATATTATATATATATATAATATATTTTATTTTTATTTTATACTCCGCTGTTCAAGAGTTTCTACTGAATACTCCTAAATCTGGACCTTTTGCAATACATGTTTCCAACAAGTATATTAGCCTGTGGATGGGGAATGTTGGTGGGGAAACAGAAACCAGACTTAAATGCCATCACTTGTTGTGCGAGCAGATACATCTAGTCAAAGCATGTTAGGTTCTTCATTAATGGAATCCAAACCCCCAGATGATCAGAATGAGTTTTCATGTGGTTTTAAGACCCAGGGTTTGTTTAAAAAAAAAAAAAAACCCTAATATTTAAATAAAACATTTTCTAAATGTTCTGTGTGATCTCTTGGTAGCTGGTTCATGCATTATCTTTCACTGGCCACATTGGTGTTTTGTAGACTGAATACTTGCTAGAGGGCATATGTTATAGTCCAGTCCGGGTCTTAACAGATCGCTCCAGGGGCAACACAGAAGCAAGCAGGCAGCTCAGACCCATGCAGCCATTGCAGTAATCCAGAATAAAATAGATGTTTTCTCTGTCTTGCTTACAATCAGAAAATGTAAACGGGACAGGTGTGCTGGCCAGCCTGGGGCTGGATGAAGATTGCCTGCCTGCTCCATACACAAAATTAAGCAGGAAACCCATCAGGAATGTCTGCATAGGAGTACTTTTCACTGCACGAGGCATGACCGCATACTTCAAACTCTGGAACGGCTAGGTCTAGCATTGAATTCTCGATTGGCACACCACACAGAAGTCTATCAGACCCGCGTGTTTAAAACGTTTTTTTAAAGGGGGCAGGGGCACAGCAGGGTACTATATAGTAAAAAATCTATTGGGGAAAATCAATAAGCTAACCAGAAGTAAGTAGATATAAAGAAAAAATATATATCCGGAATGAGAAAGATAGAAATAAGAAAAAAATTTAATAAATAAAAAAGGGGGGGAGGAGGAATAAAATATAAAATAAAAGTATAACTATGAATACAAATCCACAGTGCAAATAGACCCAGATATGGGATATATCGACTAAACGGTGATATGGTCAAAAATTCTTAAACCGTATGGAATATATATTGCAGATTGATAAAAGTCCAACTTTATAAAACACCTAAGTGTTGATAATCTGAGGCTGTATCAGCTAAATGGGATCCCAGAAAGATTACCTACTATGGTATAAGCAGGAAGCAAGTGCTGGTTAAGCTGAAGATTATATAGTGTCAGTCTTAAATCTTGAAATGAAACAAAACTGATACATAAATCATAAAATGATACAGTCTTTATAGGTTACTATATAGTGTTTCTCCATTTTAAAACAAACACAGGCATGAGATGCAATGCCTTAAATGATACAATGTTGAATAGTAGACATGTGCAATTCGTTTCAAATGCAAATTCGGATCTTCTGAAGTGCCGAATTTCGGGAATGCTGAGTTAAACCGAATTTCGGAAGTACTTCGGATTTCTGAAAAGTGGCAAAACAGGAGAGGGTTGGGGTTAGGGTATGGTTAGTGGTTGGGGTAGAGATAGGGTTAAGGGTTGGGGTAGGGTTAGGGTAGGGTAACCCTAACCCTGGCCCTAACCTACCCCTACACTAACCCTACCATAACCCTAACCCAGGGGTAGGTAAACTTTTAGCAGCACTGTGCCAGTTTTGTATAGTATTTGTGAGTATATGAGCCATTATATTGTATATGTTCACAAGTAGTTTGTGGTCTTATGTATAAAACCTATGAATGGGGGCTGCTTGTGGGATTATGTTATAGTGTGTGTAGATGGATATGTCACATTGTGTGTTTGGTAGTGTGTATGTGTGGGGGCTGTTTGGGGTTTTGCATGTGGGGTTGTGTGTGGATTGTAAGGGGTGTTGAGTTTGTGGGAATTGTGTGTGTGTATTATTTGTATGACCGGAGGGTTATTCTGCATTTCTGTGTATATATAGGAGTGTGGGTGGCTTCCCTAGAGTCCATTGGGGATCAAGCTGGCGAAGTACAGGACAAGGGCAGGAGTTGCAACAGCCGCTGCGGGCTGCTCTACTACAGTGTGGATTCCCATTCACAAGTGCTGGGAGGAAGTGATCTGAGATCACATCCTCTACGTGCTGCAATGCATAAATCGAGGATTGCCCTTCACCACCTTTTCGTATTCGCAAATATCTGAAGTTTCACTGGGACTCCTGATAGGCCAGAGCCTGTTTGGCTGTTGTAGCCTTGAGTGCCCTGCATGGCACACGTGCCGTAGGTTGCCTACCCCTGCCCTGACCCTACTCCTAACCCTATCCCTACACTTACCTGAAGTGCCGAACTAAAGTCACGAATTTCGGAATGCCGAACCGAATATTTTTCCCATGCACATCCCTAGTGAATAGTATTTTAAGCTAACACCAAACGGTGAATTGTAAGTTAAATTTAAAATTTTAGGAGAACACTTTTTGTCTAGGTTTAGCAGTTTGCTGGTCGGTGCATAAACCATTGGTTGTCACATTGTGTGCTGTGTAATCCCTAGAATGATTCCGATTCCAGTTATGGGGACGGTGATCTATCTTAATTTCCTCGTGTAAAACAACAACTTATTTTTGATCTTGTCTTGTGTTTTTTAGTGATAGGGGTAAATTGAATTGACATAAAAGGTGCATTGGATTGCTGATAGCCACCTAGTTTCCGATGTATCCAGTTTAAATCTCTGGATGCTTCACTCACAGGGAGGTTACACACATTATATAATGGAGAGCAACAATGCAAGAAACATAAAATGATAGCGAGTAGATAATGGTGGGATGCACTGGAACATAATCAACCTGCTTGCTTCACATTTTTTCCCCTCTCTCTTTACCAAATGGAGGGTAACAATGGTTTAATGACCTAAACCATTCACAGGGAATTCAGTTCAGGGCTGAAGAAATATTCTGGATGTAAATTTAATTAACCCTTATTTCCTTGCACCCACTAAGTTTATCACTTTTTTTTTTTCTATTAATCCAGTTTCCCCTTAGCAAGATATTCCTTTTATCACAGGCACTTTTCCCCAGAGGGAGAATTTCCAGGCTTCCTGCAATAGCTTTTCCTTTACACAGCTTTTTTTTTTTAATCAAGGGCACACAATGTATTGGTCTGGGTGCAGTACCCCTGTCATTTTAACCCTTCCATGTAAAACACTGCCGTCTAGTAGATACAGCAATATTTTAATTGCAGGGTTAAACACGCCTCTAGTGGCAGTCTTCCTGTAAGCCACTAGAGTAGGGGTCCTCAAACTCCGGCCCCCCAGATGTTGCTGAACTACAACTCCCATAATTCTTTGAATTACACAGATAGCCAGAGAATCATGGGAGTTGTAGTTCAGCAACATCTGGCGGGCCGGAGTTTGAGGACCCAAGCACTAGGCAGTCTTATACTGCAAGGTAATTATTTTATTTTTATTTTTTTTATTGAAATTTTTTTTAGTATATCATAGTTAATAAGCAAATAACAATAGCAAGAAGTATTCGATTAATATGATACAGTCAAGCATTTAATGCAAAATCTTGTTATTTATACAAAAGAAATCGAACACACAAAGAAAAAACAAAAACAAGACCAAGACAACAAAAGTACACCACCACCTATACAGAACAGGAGAACTTTCTTACTAATATATCAAAGACACAAGGATTATTACCATGTAACAGTACAAAAAAGTACACATACAAAAGCAAAAAAGGAGCCAATTAAGACCTTGAGACCATAGTTATTATTGCAAATTTTTTCTTCCTATTCTTTTTCTTTTTACCTTCCCTATCTTCCCTTTTCTTTCCCTTTCTCTTTTCCCTTTTTTCCCCTTTTTATATAAATGAGAAAAACGGACCATAAATTTGTTACCATTGGAAAGTTTTTGAAGCCAATTAGAGTACCATATAGTTTTTTTTTAAAAAGACAGTGGTATTAGTTATAATCTCTTTTTCCATTGTTAACTGAAATATAATTTGATCAATCAAACGGGATTTCTGAAATAAATTTGAGGACTTCCAATGTCTGGCTATATTAATTTTGACAGCAACAAAACAATGTATAGCAAAGCAGATATGTTCATGTGACTTTAATTGCCAATTCAAATGTAAAAGGGCGATGACCGGATTTTGATTAAGTCTAATACATATAACTGTATAAATGATATTAAATGCCCATATCCACAGCGGTTTAACTAATGGACAATCCCACCATATATGCATATATGTGCCCAGACACGAGCCACATCTCCAGCAGGTGGAATCGGATGTTTCATACATTCTTGTCAATCTTGTTGGAGTAAAATACCATCTGTGAACTACCTTAAAATGGCACTCAGTCAAGGTTAAGCAATGTATATATTTATTTACATTTATTAAGGAGGCTAGCCAGTCATTAAAGGGAATCACTAAATTTAATTCCTTCTCCCATGTGTTAATCTGTTTATGGGGTATTATCTTAGTTTCATCAAGCAAAGAGTTAGCAGCAGAAGTAACCTTAGAAACCGTTCAGTAACAAAATAGAGTTTCTAATTTCTTAGCCAAAGGAAAAGAAGTTGGAATAACACATTTCTGTATGAAATGTTTGATTCGAAGATAAGTAAAAATCTCTATAGGAGAAATATGTATATTATCAACAATCTGTTGAAAAGACAGAATATTATCTCCTTGCATAATGTCTGAAATAGTTAGTGAATCAATATTTCCCCAAGAAGTCAATGAGAAATCCTCTATAATACACTCCAAAATATTAAGACTACAAGATCTAGGTATTAGTTGTACAATATTCAAAATTTTCTTAATTTCTGCCCAGTCTTCTAGAGTTTAAAACAACGTGGATGGAAACCAACTATTTAACTCTTTCGGAATCTCTTTGAAATCCATCCACATATAATGGTATAATCTAGAAGAGTGGGCAGCTTCTGATTCTAAAATAAACCATGGCTCCCTACGAACCTGTGGATCTTGAAGAATGTAAATATGACGGATAATATTAGCAAAATACGTATATGTAATACTAGGAAAGCCAAGGCCACCTTGGGATAGTTTTTTTTTGGGAAAATTTTTTGATTAATTCTAGGTCTTTTATTTTTCCAAATAAATTTATTATAACTTGATTGAATCATTGCTAACCAAGGCTTAGGCATTTCTAGTGGGACCATAGAAAAAAGATTTAGCCACTTAGGTAAGATATAGGAATTTATAATATTAATTCTACCTATCCACGAAGTTTCCAAATTTTGCCATTTTTTAAATTTAAGGTTCATGTTTTTCATTAAGATTAAAACGTTTCTCTCCATTGTAGTCGGAATACTTACAGGGATCGTTAGACCCAAATAATTTAATTCCTTTTCTGTCCAGATAAATTTATAATTCTGGGATAAATTATCAACCAAGTCTGAAGGCACATTGATGGTTAAGGCTATTGATTTTAAAATATTTAACTTGAAATTAGATATACTGGAGTATCTCTCAATTTCAAACATTAAAGGCCGAAGTGATTTTTCAGGAAAAGACAGGGTGATTAAAGCATCATCCGCATATAAAGAAATTTTAGCATCACATAATTTTATTTTAACAACGCTGATTAATAAGTTATTCCTAATATTAATAGCTAAAGGTTCAAGTGATAAAATATATAATAAAGGCAAAAGGGGACACCCCTGTCTAGTTCCATTTTTAAGATCAAACCATCCTGCAGTTATATTCGGACCCACTGTTCTAGCTGAAGGGGAGGAATATAGAGCTAAAATAGCACCATATATCCATCCCATGAATCCGAATGCCTTCAGGACTTCACTTAAATATCCCCACCCGACCCTGTCGAACGCTTTTTCGGCGTCTAATGACAGGGCCAGGAGGGGAATGTCATGTCTATTTGACCAGTCAATACTATCAATCAATCTACGGGAATTATTTGATGCCCATCTTCCAGGGATAAACCCGATCTGGTCAGGATGGATAGGTTTCGATATAATAATTTTAATTCTCTCAGCAATAATAGCTGTGTGACAAAATGCCTTTTGTCATGGGGGTTTCATGTGACAAACTGCCCTACCCCCCTGTCTTATGGAGAAGCTGGATTGCTAGCCTCTTACCCTGGGATGCTGGCCCTTTAAGTTATTGGGTCTTAAAGGACCACTCTAGGCACCCAGACCACTTCAACTTAATGAAGTGGTCTGGGTGCCAGGTCCAGCTAGGGTTAACCCATTTTTTCATAAACATAGCAGTTTCAGAGAAACTGCTATGTTTATCAATGGGTTAAGCCTTCCCCCATTCCCTCTAGTGGCTGGCTCATTGACAGCCACTAGAGGCGCTTGCGTGCTTCTCACTGTGATTTTCACAGTGAGAGCACGCAAGCGTCCATAGGAAAGCATTATGAATGCTTTCCTATGTGACCGGCTGAATGCGCGCGCAGCTCTTGCCGCGCGTGCGCATTCAGCCGACGGGGCGGATCGGAGGAGGATCGGAGGCGGAGAGGAGGAGGAGAGCTCTCCGCCCAGCGCTGGAAAAAGGTAAGTTTAACCCCTTTTCCCCTTTCCAGAGCCGGGCGGGAGGGGGACCCTGAGGGTGGGTGCACCCTCAGGGCACTATAGTGCCAGGAAAACGAGTATGTTTTCCTGGCACTATAGTGGTCCTTTAAGGCACTTGGGACAGAGCCCTTTGTCCCTGGATTACATCGGTTGCCGTACTTGCTTGGATTTTACATTTGCCCTGATACATTCGTATGTTGGTTCGTGCAGTTTAACTTCCCTTACAGCTGGATTAAGGCTGTTCGTACAGACAAACAAACTGCCGAAACGGCCGACCACCCGGTCTGTGGCGTGTGCTGCTTATTAGCCACCCAGAAGCTGCGGTTAACCGCAGCTTAATTGTCGAATGCCTGGGTGGCCGGTGTTTGTCGAAAGCCCAGCCGTAAATGGCGGCGATGCCCTGGAACTCTTTTCGGACACTTATTCCGCCGAACACCGCTGGTACCTACCAAGGTCCTCGTTCATACGTCTGGAAATACGCGAACGGCTGGCAAAAGCCAAACTTCAGTCGACGTTTCTGAGAACTGTGTTCGTGGGATCTGAGCGCTATTGGCCTAGAATATGCACTCAGATCCAAGCAACGGGTATATGTGGGACTTAAAGTTTATGTTCTGTAAAATGTAAGTTATAGATTTTTATGCTGTTTTTCTAAAAAAAGAAAAGCCATGTTTCTTTCTACCTGGAGATAATTAAGGCTCTTTTTACTCACTTAAGTTAATTATCTCCAGGATGGAAAAGAGGGAGTGATTTATGTAAAAGGGGAGTGCTTATGTTAAAGCCACTGTGATTGGCTACTGTAATGCTTTTGTCACAGTCTTCCATCTGGTCCCCTAGGGGAGTGTCCACCAGGTGGGAGACCTGCATAAATACCGGGCAGGTAGCCCACAGTAAATCAGATTGTTTTACCCCTTCATAAATTCTCGACTCATGTTTGGGGGATTGGGAGTTATAATCACTTAGTTTCAGCTGGATTTCGGGAGAAGCTGCAAGGATCATCGCTGCACGAATAGAAGGATCCTTTACAAGCTGAATATAACTTCATGTCTACATTAATTAACGCGATCGGTCTATAATTGCACGGATCTGTACTATCCTTATTCTGTTTCAATATGGGAACAAGATTAGATTGTAATTCTTTTGGAATGGTGTTATTTGGTTGTTATTGATTAAAGAATTGAGTAATAGGGTTTAATAAATGCGACTTCATATATTTATAATATAAATTTGTGAAGCCGTCAGGCCCCAGAGTTTTATTTGTGGGGAGTCTATCTATTTGATACTTAACTTCCTCCATGGTAATTTTCTTATTTAAAAAGTACCAGATCTTGTGAGGTAATTTTCGGAATTATTGTATTATGTAAATAATTTTGAATATCCTTTGTTTTAGGGTATAAATTTAAATTATATAATTCCTGATAAAATTGATTGAATTTTTGACCTATTAGGGAAGGGGTAGAATAAACTAATTGGTCGTTGACCAGTTTTTCCACCCTGTTCCTTGCATATTGATTTTGAAGTCTTTTTGTTAAGTTTTTATTGGCTCTATTACCCGTATGATAATTATTTAAATTTAACTTATTTATATTAATCTTAATCTTTTCTTCCTCCTTCAAATTTATTTATTGTTTTAAATGGTTTAAACGAGTCCTCAACTCTGGCGTACAATATTGTTTATTTAAATGGGAACATGAGTAAAATTCAATATATAAATCCTTTAAATTCTTATCATTCCTTTTCTTATGAATATGACCCATTTTAATTAGATAGCCCCTCATAATAGATTTGTGAGTAAACCAATTAATCATAGGAGAAGTGTCCGCTGGATTATTTTCAGACCAAAAATATTCTAATAGCTTAGACAACTCCTCCCTGTTATATTCATTTTTAATAAGGGAGTCATGCAGTCTCCAGGTGGTACGAGACAGTGGTGGATTTTTGCCAAGATCAAATAATAGGAAACTATGATCAGACCATGGATTCTCCTTAATATCAACAGAGTTAAAAAGAGGGATTGTGTTTGAGTCAACTAAACAATAATCAATCCTTGAATAGGTACCATGAACACTAGAGAAATGAGAATAATCTATTTGAAATGGATGTAATAGTCTCCAAATATCATATAAATTAAATTGTTTACAAATATTCTGTAATTTTTTGGCCTGTTTATTAATTCTTTTATTATTCATAGTTGAAGAATTAATAAACAGGCCTAAAAATTACAGAATATTTGTAAACAATTTAATTTATATGATATTTGGAGACTATTACATCCATACATCCAGTTTCTCAAAAACTGCAATAATTACCTATGCAGGGTTAAGGAGATATGGACACTGCACACAGGCCATTTCAAAGAACTAAAGTGGTCTGAGTGCGTACAGTGTATCTTTAAGTCATCACTAATGATGATTTGTGTCCAATCAGTGTTTCCACATCAAACTGCCAGGGGGTGTTACTAAATAAGTACATTTATAAAACAAGCCTGCAGAGATATGCAACTAGCCCCTAAAGTTTGCATTTAGCAAAAAACTCTTGCAGAAACACAAAAAGATTGCATATTTTAGGTCAAAATAGTCAATTTATTCAACTTTACATTTTCCATCTCTGTTATTAAACTAAATTCCTTTGTCCGAACTCCTCAGTTACTGGTTTAGTGAATAAGTCCCTTGTATTCTCAACGTTTTACTTTCCTTAAAAAAATCCAGTAATTGAAAAAACCCGCCCCATTCAATGTATTAGTATAACTGTAACACAGGTCCAGTAATGAGCCTCTCCATGAACTCTACAAGGACAAATGGTACTTTAGTGCTGAGCTGGTCACCTATTGGGGTTCTTCACTAGAATTCACCAAGGAATTGTAAATTGTAAGCCAAATCTAAAAATATTTTTGTGGCTCAGCTATTTGCAATTCACTCTCTGGTAAATTCCCAACAATTTGTGGTTTTGCAAATAACTGAATATAAGCCATTTTTCTATAACACCGTAGAAAATATAGTTTCATGCAACCATGGCAATTGCCTCAATTGTCCCTACAGTGCTGTGGCTCATTTATACCATTCACTGTCTATTAGGTGTAATATTTACCTTCTTACTCCTAATAGGGTTCTTAAAATTGACATTTAATTTTTTTCAGATAGATGTTACATGACCGGTTGCAATGTACAGAACCAATAAGTGAGACTTCTCTTTCTTTTCTGTAATGCCTAGTAAGCATATATAAGACACCAGAGAGAGAGAGAGAGAGAACAGATCTCTAACCACTGTTTGTAAAAAAATAAACAGGACTTTGCAAAACCTAAACAGAGAGATTTGTTTCAAGCATCGTCCATTGTAGATAAATGTTCTTAATCCCAATATTTCAAGAGACGAACAAGACCAAGTCCATTAATGTTCTACAATGTTTTCCACTGGATTGTTCCTATGAAGCTTTTATCTGCTTCTTCAGTTCTTCCGCCCTCTGTTTCTGATAGTCCAGCATGCAGTCTTTAAATTGCTGGACTTGTGGCTGACACTGTCTCCAGTCCTGGTGCTCTGCCATGCACTCCTGCACGGCATAATGAGCTGCTGCGCATCCTGTGCGAACAATCATCTGATCAACAGGGTCCTCCTCATCATCCGGCTTCCGTGTGCGATTATGAGGTTGTTGGACTGGAAAAGACATTTTCATATACCTGTAGGTGGAAATAAAAAGGAGAGCAATTTCATTACCATACCTGGTCTCTCTCAATGCCATCCGCATTTACATCACAAATTTTACTTATTTTGGTTTGTAAAAGAAAAATAGCAAGAAGGTGAGAATTTGACAAACTGCAATATAAAGACAAGTGCATAAAAAAAACTATTAAACCTATATGTAATACAAGGTAAATCAGCAGTGAATATATAGGTATAGATGATACAATTTATCCAAATGTGGCGTATAGTACTGTATCCTTTGTTACTAATGGCTGTTTAATGTTATGAATAGTGATGTCCCGAACGGTTTGCCGCAGACGGCGAACATATGTGCTGTTTGGTCCGCCCCCTATGTCATCATTGAGTAAACTTTAACCCTGTACCTCACAGTCAGCAGACACATTCCAGCCAATCAGCAGCAGACCCTCCCACCTCCTGGACAGCATCCATTTTACATTCATTGTGAAGCTGCATTCTTAGTGAGCTGTCCAGGAGGTGGGAGGATCTGGGAGGGAGGGTCTGCTGCTGATTGGCTGGAATGTGTCTGCTGACTGTGAGGTACAGGGTCAAAGTATACTCAATGATGACATAGGGGCGCATATGTTCGCTGTCCGTGGCGAACCGTTCGGGACATCACTAGTTATGAAATGAACAACGAATTGCAGAATTATGGCCAAATAACTTAATAAAAAAGTTCTCCCAACTATTGCAACAATTTTAGTATTTTCAAGATCTCTTTCGGTTTTACAGTTTAATAACTAAACTAAAATATTATTAAATTTTAACTCTTCCAGATTACCCTGGAAAGAGAATCTTAATCTGTAATTTACTGCTTTAGTTATTTCTTAATTATTTAAGTTTATTTTTTTTAATGTTTTTCTAAACTTTCCTGGCAAATTAAAATCTATACAATTTTATTTACTAAACAATGACTTGTGATAAAGAAATTGAAAAACACAAGCCTGAAAATGGAGCTGGATATTTTCTTAGACTTTAATTTGTCAAATTCAAAGTTTAGTGAATAAACCAATATCTCCATTCAGTCTGTGTGCAGGCTATGGATTCTCTGTGATTTCCAATCACTAGATTTATTGATTATTGATTAGTTTCCTCTCACCATGAGCTGTCTCCTTGCCTTGTTTGGGATCACACAGAAAGGGCACAAGATGCACTTCCGGGTGTCACTAGCACATGGGTTAGTGGAGGAATGAACTTCCGGGTAAGGACAGATCTGCTTCCGGGTGATGAGGCTGCAGTATGGGGTCTGCCAGGATCTTTATCCAGAGTGACTGGCAACAAGCCCTGCGGTGAGGGGGGATACTGCCCACTGCAATATATACTGATACAGAGTATACCATGATAATCAGACTGTGTATATTTAGTGATACAGAGAATCCCATGATAATCAGACTGTATATATAGTGATACAGAGTATACCATGATAATCAGACTGTATATATACTGATACAGAGTATCCCATGATAATCAGACTATGTATATATAGTGATACAGAGTATCCCATGATAATCAGACTGTGTATATATACTGATACAGAGTATACCATGATAATCAGACTGTGTATATAGTGATACAGAGTATCCCATGATAATCAGACTGTGTATATAGTGATACAGAGTATACCATGATAATCAGACTATGTATATATAGTGATACAGAGTATACCATGATAATCAGACTATGTATATATAGTGATACAGAGTATACCATGATAATCAGACTGTGTATATAGTGATACAGAGTATCCTATGATAATCAGACTGTGTATATAGTGATACAGAGTATACCATGATAATCAGACTGTATATATAGTGATTCAGAGTATCCCATGATAATCAGACTGTGTATATACTGATACAGAGTATACCATGATAATCAGACTGTATATATAGTGATACAGAGTATCCCATGATAATTAGACTGTGTATATAGTGATACAGAGTATCCCATGATAATCAGACTGTGTATATAGTAATACAGAGTATACCATGATAATCAGACTGTGTATATTTAGTGATACAGAGAATCCCATGATAATCAGACTGTATATATAGTGATACAGAGTATACCATGATAATCAGACTGTATATATACTGATACAGAGTATCCCATGATAATCAGACTGTGTATATATACTGATACAGAGTATACCATGATAATCAGACTGTGTATATAGTAATACAGAGTATCCCATGATAATCAGACTGTGTATATAGTGATACAGAGTATCCTATGATAATCAGACTGTATATATAGTGATACACAGTATCCCATGATAATCAGACTGTGTATATAGTAATACAGAGTATCCCATGATAATCAGACTGTGTATATAGTGATACAGAGTATACCATGATAATCACACTGTGTATATAGTAATACAGAGTATACCATGATAATCAGACTGTGTATATAGTGATACACAGTATCCCATGATAATCAGACTGTGTATATAGTGATACACAGTATCCCATGATAATCAGACTGTGTATATAGTTATACAGAGTATACCATGATAATCACACTGTGTATATAGTAATACAGAGTATACCATGATAATCAGACTGTGTATATAGTGATACACAGTATCCCATGATAATCAGACTGTGTATATAGTGATACAGAGTATACCATGATAATCAGACTGTATATATAGTGATACAGAGTATACCATGATAATCAGACTGTGTATATAGTGATTCAGAGTATCCCATGATAATCAGACTGTGTATATAGTGATACAGAGTATACCATGATAATCAGACTATGTATATATAGTGATACAGAGTATACCATGGTAATCAGACTGTGTATATATAGTGATACAGAGTATACCATGATAATCAGACTATGTATATATAGTGATACAGAGTATACCATGATAATCAGACTATGTATATATAGTGATACAGAGTATACCATGATAATCAGACTATGTATATATAGTGATACAGAGTTTACCATGATAATCAGACTGTATATATAGTGATACAGAGTATCCCATGATAATCAGACTGTGTATATAGTGATACAGAGTATCCCATGATAATCAGACTGTGTATATAGTGATACAGAGTATCCCATGATAATCAGACTGTGTATATAGTGATTCAGAGTATACCATGATAATCAGACTGTATATATAGTAATACAGAGTATCCCATGATAATCAGACTGTGTATATAGTGATACAGAGTATCCTATGATAATCAGACTGTATATATAGTGATACACAGTATCCCATGATAATCAGACTGTGTATATAGTGATACAGAGTATCCCATGATAATCAGACTGTGTATATAGTGATACAGAGTATACCATGATAATCACACTGTGTATATAGTGATTCAGAGTATACCATGATAATCAGACTGTGTATATAGTGATACACAGTATCCCATGATAATCAGACTGTGTATATAGTGATACAGAGTATACCATGATAATCACACTGTGTATATAGTAATACAGAGTATACCATGATAATCAGACTGTGTATATAGTGATACACAGTATCCCATGATAATCAGACTGTGTATATAGTGATACAGAGTATACCATGATAATCAGACTGTATATATAGTGATACAGAGTATACCATGATAATCAGACTGTGTATATAGTGATTCAGAGTATCCCATGATAATCAGACTGTGTATATAGTGATACAGAGTATACCATGATAATCAGACTATGTATATATAGTGATACAGAGTATACCATGACCAATCAGACTGTGTATATATAGTGATACAGAGTATACCATAGTAATCAGACTGTGTATATATAGTGATACCGTATACCATGATAATCAGGCTATTGTATATAGTGATACAGAAGTATACCATGATAATCACACTGTGTATATAGTAATACAGAGTATACCATATTAATCGAACTGTGTATATAGTATTACACAGTATCCCATAAATAATCGAACTGTATATAGTGATACAGAGTATACCATGATAATCAGACTGTATATATAGTATTACAAGTATACCCTTGATAATCAGACTGTGTGTATATATAGTGATTCAAAATTATCCCATGATAATCAGACTGTGTATATAGTGATACAGAGTATACCATGATAATCGAACTATGTATATATAGTGATACAGAGTATACCATGATAATCAGACTATGTATATATAGTATTACAGAAGTATACCATATTATTAATTTCATGTATATAGTGACTAGAGTATACCACTTATTAATCAGACTGTATATATACTGATACAAGTATACCATGATAATCAGACTGTGTATATAGTGATTCAGAGTATACCATGATAATCAGACTGTGTATATAGTAATACAGAGTATCCCATGATAATCAGACTGTGTATATAGTGATACAGAGTATACCATGATAATCAGACTATGTATATATAGTGATACAGAGTATACCATGATAATCAGACTATGTATATATAGTGATACAGAGTATACCATGATAATCAGACTATGTATATATAGTGATACAGAGTATCCCATGATAATCAGACTGTGTATATAGTGATACAGAGTATACCATGATAATCAGACTGTATATATAGTGATACAGAGTATACCATGATAATCAGACTGTGTATATAGTGATTCAGAGTATCCCATGATAATCAGACTGTGTATATAGTGATACAGAGTATACCATGATAATCAGACTATGTATATATAGTGATACAGAGTATACCATGATAATCAGACTATGTATATATAGTGATACAGAGTATACCATGATAATCAGACTGTGTATATAGTGATACAGAGTATACCATGATAATCAGACTGTATATATACTGATACAGAGTATACCATGATAATCAGACTGTGTATATAGTGATTCAGAGTATACCATGATAATCAGACTGTGTATATAGTAATACAGAGTATCCCATGATAATCAGACTGTGTATATAGTGATACAGAGTATACCATGATAATCAGACTATGTATATATAGTGATACAGAGTATACCATGATAATCAGACTATGTATATATAGTGATACAGAGTATACCATGATAATCAGACTGTGTATATAGTAAAACATAGTATACCATGTGATTAATCAGGCAGAGCCTTCTCTCTCTGTCCAGTTACTGGAGTGCAGAGCCTTCTCTCTCTGTCCAGTTACTGGAGTGCAGAGCCTTCTCTCTCTGTCCAGTTACTGGAGTGCAGAGCATTCTCTCTCTGTCCAGTTACTGGAGTGCAGAGCATTCTCTCTCTGTCCAGTTACTGGAGTGCAGAGCCTTCTCTCTCTGTCCAGTTACTGGAGTGCAGAGCCTTCTCTCTCTGTCCAGTTACTGGAGTGCAGAGCCTTCTCTCTCTGTCCAGTTACTGGAGTGCAGAGCCTTCTCTCTCTGTCCAGTTACTGGAGTGCAGAGCCTTCTCTCTCTGTCCAGTTACTGGAGTGCAGAGCCTTCTCTCTCTGTCCAGTTACTGGAGTGCAGAGCCTTCTCTCTCTGTCCAGTTACTGGAGTGCAGAGCCTTCTCTCTCTGTCCAGTTACTGGAGTGCAGAGCCTTCTCTCTCTGTCCAGTTACTGGAGTGCAGAGCCTTCTCTCTCTGTCCAGTAACTGAGTGCAGAGCCTTCTCTCTCTGTCCAGTAACTGAGCGCAGAGCTTTCTCTCTCTGTCCAGTAATGGAGCGCAGAGCTTTCTCTCTCTGTCCAGTAACAGAGTGCAGAGCCTTCTCTCTCTGTCCAGTAATGGAGCGCAGAGCCTTCTCACTGTATATTTGTAAATAATTTGTGTATTTTATTAATTTTTTCTATCTTTTTGACACATTGAGGAGCTTTCTCTCCTTTTCTTCCTTTATCCCGGATGGGTTGTGGAGAGACTGGATGTTAGAGATAATTTGCTAAGCTCTATGTCTTGTGTCTGTTTAACAAACTAATAATATGTTTTCTCTCCAGGAAGGCTGATGGCGAAGCGTGGGTGTCGTGTAAGATTGCAGGTATGTTTATTGTGAGTGATGGTTTTATTCCTGGCAGTGCCACCCTGACCTGTGTTCCCCAAGTGATCCCAGCTGCCATTTAACTAATACTGTTTATCGTTGCTTGTACATATTGCTGCATTACACATCGATGGGCAGCTTGTTAAATAATGGCACCTTACAAATATTGAATTCAAATCCTGCAGGTAGAAAATAAACCGTTTAATTAATGAGACGTCAATTCACTGTAATTTGTAATTACACTGCTGAAAATACATTCTATAATTGTATAATACAGGATATATTTAATATATGATACTATAATAACCATGTCCTAAAGGACCCAGCAATAACCAGCACAATGTCTCAAATGCACATTTTGTTGGTTTATAACATTCGGTTTATTCAATGTGCATTTTTTCTCATTTTGACCTAGAAACCTGCAATTCTCTTATTAGTTCTCCACAATTCCTAGTTTGTCATTCCCTGCTTTGACGGCCACTAGACTGGTATAGGAATGTATCACTTAACAAACACTGACCCACTTACTTAGTAAAGCCAGTATTCAAAACGCATTTCATATTTAAGGCCAGATAAGAAGGGAAAGTGAATTCTCACGCTAGTTAAATACCGCTGTCAGTGGGGATTGTCCTTTTTTTATCACAAAGTCTCGCACTAAAATGTGAATGTTCTCTTTCACAGGGAAACCTACAATTTATGGATGTCTGAAATGCCTGGGGGTTGGTTCCGATGGCATTCCCCATATCACCTCCTCAGATGAATTTGTTGTACATGCAGTCACAAAGGTACGTTGTAACTGCATGTTGAAATGAAATTAAAGGAAAACTGCAGGCACCATAACCACTTTACTCACCAATTAACCCAGGTGTTCAATCCCCAGCAGACTGCAGCCCTGTCTCTAACGACCAAATGGCCACTTCAGTCCATACCAGGGGTAGCAGGCAGTGATAGCTTGAGAACATCACAATCCCTGGTATAAATTGGTACGGTATCGCAGAAAATGAATCTAAAAACACTGGTGCCTGGTTTCACAGACCTGCCGACAAACTCAGGTTAAACCTGAGAAACATGTTAATTGGGTTGTAGTGTATCCAAATTGTTTTTTGTAGCCTTCTGCTTATATAGAGCTATTCTTCACCCTCCTTCATGAGCTAAACACCAGCAGTATAAAGCTATGGACTGCTTATATGTTGGGTTTTATTCTGCAAAATAATCTTTATCAGATCACTGTTATATTTTTATATTTACAGTTCAACCACTGCTCAAAAGCCAAGTGGATAATTTTAAAACCAGACACAGATAATGTATTACTGCAATAATTCTTACTGTTTGAGGTGTTGTAAAAGTTGGGGTATGAAGCACACGTTCGGATTGCTGTTACCACGGATGTGACATGTCACGGCTGTGGGTGTGTGATCGTAGGATTTTTTTGGTCAGTGTCAACAGAGCACCCGGCTGTGTGTTTTCGAGATGGTTACTCTGCATCTTGCATTTCTTTCAGAAAAGTATATCTGTCTCCTGTCCCAGTGAAAACACATCCTCCAAATTTCTGTCTCCGTACACTGGCTTCGCGAGAATCCATGGAAAAAGTGTAAGGTATTTTTACATATTTCTTTTTTTTATTTTTACGTCTTCCGTTCTTTTCCAGTCTGTGTGTAAAAAAAAAAAAAAAAATAGAACAATATTTGAAAAAGTAAAATAGAAGGAATTCTAAATGGGGGGAAAAACCCACCAACAATGGTGCAATCATTGCATAAACCAGTGTGAGGTTTTACCTGAATTCTAATAAACAAGCAAACTGCGTTTCCTTACAAACTGAGTCGAATCATGTCTAACTGTCAGTACAGTAAACCAGGAAAATTCTGTTAAAAGTTTAAAAGCAACTTGCACAGAAATGGATTTTTAAAAGCTGACTAGATTAGCGCTGGTAAGAAACCGGCCTAAGTAAAAAAAAAAAATTGACATTCACTTGCATTTTTTATTTATTTCATGTACATGGAATTTACGGTTAATTTCCCCCCCTTTGATGTTGAAAGAGAAGCTGCTAAGTGCTGAAATGGTACCTGCGTTTATAACACTCTGTATGAAGCTGTTCCTGAAACAAGAGACACTCTGACTCTTGTGATTCCGTGTGTGCGTGTTTGCACGGAATTATGGGTAGATGCAAGACGCCATTCTGATAGCAGAGCATCACATTAGATCATTTGTTTTTGTATTTTGTTGTACCTAATGTAACAATGCAATGATTTGTGGACCCAGGACATACTTGAAAACGAGAGAAATCTCAATGTATCTTTCCTGGTAAAATAGTTTATAAATAAATAAATAAATAAAATACACAAAACATTTATTTTGGTATCAACTGCACATTTTTTTTAAAATAAGAAATATTATTAAAGTCCAGAGGGTACTCTTTATTTAGTTGCTTTTTGTATTATTTTGTGCTTATAAAAAGAAAGACTGCACTCACCTGAACATGTACATTTTTTTTTTTTATAAACTGCTATATTAGTGCAACATAGAGAATACAGTGCACTTACCTTGTGACTCATTATAAAGAGAACAACATTATTATATGATCGTACATTGTGTGAGCCTGCCATAAAATGGAACACATTGATGTAGAAGACCTATTCATTGCATGATAATATATTGTTTTTTTTGTGTTATGTGTTTTTAACAATTTTGTGATCTTTAAAATTAGTCTGAGTGGATTCTCTGTGTGTGTGTGTGTGTGTGTGTGTGTATGTATGTATTAGTGATGTATGTACGTGTGCATAGATGTGTGTGTGTGTGTATGTATGTATTAGTGATGTATGTACGTGTGCATAGATGTGTGTGTGTATGTATGTATTAGTGATGTATGTACGTGTGCATAGATGTGTGTGTGTGTGTATGTATGTATTAGTGATGTATGTACGTGTGCATAGATGTGTGTGTGTGTGTGTGTGTGTATGTATGTATTAGTGATGTATGTACGTGTGTATGGATGTATTACTGATGTATGTACGTGTGCATAGATGTGTGTGTGTATGGATGTATGTATTAGTGATGTATGTACGTGTGCATAGATGTGTGTGTGTATGTATGTATTAGTGATGTATGTACGTGTGCATAGATGTGTGTGTGTGTGTGTGTGTGTATGTATGTATTAGTGATGTATGTACGTGTGCATAGATGTGTGTGTGTGTGTGTATGGATGTATGTATTAGTGATGTATGTACGTGTGTATGGATGTATTACTGATGTATGTACGTGTGCATAGATGTGTATGGATGTATTACTGATGTATGTACGTGTGCATAGATGTGTGTGTGTATGGATGTATGTATTAGTGATGTATGTACGTGTGCATAGGTGTGTGTGTGTGTGTGTGTGTATGGATGTATTAGTGATGTATGTACGTGTGCATAGATGTGTGTGTGTGTGTATGGATGTATTAGTGATGTATGTACGTGTGCATAGATGTGTGTGTGTATGGATGTATGTATTAGTGATGTATGTACGTGTGCATAGATGTGTGTGTGTGTGTGTATGGATGTATTAGTGATGTATGTACGTGTGCATAGATGTGTGTGTATGGATGTATTAGTGATGTATGTACGTGTGCATAGATGTGTGTGTACATATAGATAATGTTTATATACCTCTGTCAGATTTCTTTATGATTCTTTGTCTCCCCTCCTTCCACCAGATAACCTGCATGGATGTGTCCAGCGGAGGGGGACTGGGGCTCTCTACCAGTACAGATGGATCTATGAAGATCTGGCAAACTAATAACGGGGAAATTAGAGTAAGTTCGATTGCTCTGTGTTTATTTAACCCTTTGAATGTCTAAAATAACAATTATGTAAACCCAGATATGTAAGGACTATATAACACAGCTACCAAAACATAGTAACAAATGTCAACATTTCTCAGACTCTAGTCCTTAGAGCTACAATCGCAAACTCCATTCTGCATGTTAAACCCAGCATGTACTGGCAAATACCAATATCACGTTTAAAGTCTGCCAGTTTACCAGTCAGGACTGACCCCCATCCCCTGCACAGTACAGTCTGGACGTTACAATATTAAAGGGACAGTGTATCCTCCAAATCACTTTAAAATGCAGGATTTCAGCCGCATTCTCTCTTTGTATTCAGTCGAATGTTGACCCATCCCATAAAATTCTAGAGCTTAGTTGTTCTCATTTCTTTAGTGAAATTACCTTCAGTGTTTCTTACTAAAGCCAAAATAGAGGGATGAAGTTGGTGACGGCTGCTGCTTCGGTCATATTTCCCAGCAGATCCCTGACAATGAGTGGATTGTTTGTAGCGCTGTAATATGTTCTCATACAATGGACGGACCGTCCAGGTGATAACGTTGCGTGTTTTGTTCCTTCTGCAGAGGGTTCTGGAAGGTCACATTTATGATGTAAACTGCTGCATGTTCTTCCCCTCCGGGATGGTGGTGCTCAGCGGAGGGATGGATTCTCAGATTAAGATCTGGTCGGTGGAAGACGCCAGCTGCCCGGTTACCTTTAAAGGTCATCAAGCAGGTAATCAGGGCCGTAGCTCCCCCAGCCTGGAATCCCATGTACTTCTATAGCGACTTTTTGTCACATAATGGAATATTACTGAGTACAGTCTACACTGTTAGCATGGTTTATATTGGTGCCGCTTTTATTTTTTTTATTTTTTTTTTTATCATCACAAAAACCCAACAATTCTTCTTACACTTTAATATATCCCAGCATGCATCTCACTTGCTGTTTTTGATTGGTTGCCAAATTCTGCTATTGCAAGCTTGATTTAATAATATCTAGAAGAATTTGCAGATGAGGAATCGGGTTACTTTAACTTGCGTCATCTTTTACCATTAGAGTATGTTTAAAAGCAGCCCTTAAAATAAATGGCCAGCTTTTTAAATGGCCACTAAACACCTTTTGTTTTATTACAGGGATGTTTTCCTAATCTCTACCAGCTTCTCTGTTTCTTTAATACCAATTCTGTCTCCCATAAGATTGTATGGGAGATGGTTTGTTTATTAATCCGAATCTGACGATTTTATTAATACTAAGAAGTTTCTAATTATAGAATTCATTGTCAAGCACTATCACATAACCTGTGGTATTTTACCACCCGACATTACAAAAAAAAAAAAAAAAAAGAGAGAGAGGGGATGGAAAAAATCCACCCCCAAGGGGTTCACAGCAAACAGCCCCATGGGAGAAGCAGAATGTGTATGCGTCATATTAAAGGTCCTGTTTTGTAGGAATCTTGGACTTGGCGGTGGTGGATCGTGGAAGGAACGTGTTGTCTTGTTCTCGGGATGGCACAGCCAGACTTTGGGATTGCGGTAGATCCTCCTGCCTCGCCGTGGTTGCAGAGTGTGGTGTTCCTATTAACGGCATGTGCATAGGGGTGCCTGACAACACTGTGAATCTGGGATCCCATGAAGAACCACCGAGTAAGTCATTGGGTCCCTATCAGCTTTCTTTATTGGTGGATATAGGTGTTTAATAGGTTAGAGATTAAAAAAAAAAAAAAAAGTTATTTTTTTTTCCTTACATCCAGCGTGGGCCAGGCACTCACTCTCCGCTCTTGTGCTGGCCTCAGTGCAAACGTTGCACTCAGGACTTTGTAGCACAATAATCATTTATTGTGTAAAACAAGTTGGCATTTCAGTCCCATGTGGACTTTTATCATGACATCCATACAAAACCATGAAGCACAATATATAGGGTGTAAAACGGAAGTGATCATGCAAGACATCATAAATTAGCTAATACAATTGCATTAAAAATAATTCCATAAATCAATTAGTTTGACACACCTCTCCAGTGACTGATTCACTAACTGTCGCTGTAGTCATGTGAGCAATAGAGCAGAATGATAAAAACTCTGATAACTCAGATAAGTGTGCCGAATATCCCAGCGATAGCGAGAGAGAAAGCTAGTGAACCTCTGAGTGAAATGCAGAAGTAATCCTCATTAAATGCTGAAATAAGAGTTTAAGGAAATAATGAAAGTCCTACTTGCTGCGAAGTGTTAGGAAGACTCAAGCATAACTCCAGATCATCCAGAGACAGAAACTAGGTAAACGTAAAGTAAGATTCCAATTCAGAAAATGTTGAAGGGAAGTACATGAAAAGTTGTGACCATGTGTTGGTGAAAAATTAGATATCAGTTCTGCAGTCGAAAGTATCTGTTTGAGCACATAAACAGGACTTTGCGTCAAAGATCCACCTTTCACAAGAGACAACACGAACCAAAATAGAGGACATACATTAAGCCAGGCAACATAAGGACAGAAACAAATAAAAATCAAGAAACGCAATAAAATGAACTTGTAGTGGAACCTAGCTAACAGCATGCTATCCAAATAACCTTATCCTAATGCAAGGATGACCCATAGGGGAGTATCAGTATATTACACTGAGGCTAAGTTCCATATAGAATCTAGGAGGACTTACCCTGGAAGAAGCACACCATCTGCAGGAAAATAAAGATAAGGCACATAGACATGGAAATGTTGGCTATTTATGTCACAGCCAAAAAAACTATAAAGTAAGTTCTGCTCATTGAGTCCTCCCGGTGCCACAGTCCACAATCTTCTGGTTCCGGGAAGCCTCGTGTTTCAGTAACTCACGATCCCAGGCCCCTCCATGGGGGAGTGGAGGTATGTGGTCGATTTTCATTTGCAATTTGAGCCCTGGGTGTGCCTTGTCTGAACTGGATTATGATGTCATGTGCGAAGTCTTTAAAAGAAAAACCACATCACAAGAAAAAAAGTTATATTTTGGGTGATTTTCAATGTTTTATGGAATGGTGTAGTTTCTCGAAGTGTCAGTTCCTCTGCCGTCACATTCTATGTTTCTAAATGTTTCTTCGGAGCCAGTATTGCACAAAAGTGATAGAATTTTAAGTTGTCATTAAATAGGTTGATGTATAATAGTGAAATCAATAAATTAAAGAAGAACATTTTTATCATAACATTTTGGTTAATTTTAGCATGTTTTCCCTTATAATACCGTGCATTGTGCTTTGTGTTTATATCACAGGCGACCGCGAAGTGGGGACTGGAGGGAAGTTATTGCTGCTGGCGCGAGAGGATAAAAAGCTGCAGGGAGTGAGTGTGCAAAGTCGTACGCCTGTGAGTACCGCCCAATGCGACTTACCTGGTCTGCTCTTATAATACATTCAGCATGGCTTGTGATTACTGGAAACCTGATTTTTCTAAATGTAACTCCTTACAGCAGTCGTTAGGAGTCCGTTTTAAAGAATGTTCTCGTGGAATTTGTCCTTTCTCCATATGCACATACTGTAATGAATTTAGTTTCAGATGTTTAATGACACTTTAAGTTTTAGTCAGTAAACTTGGATTTACAGCAGTTACAATTATTTATATAGCGCTAACATATTCCGCAGCGCTGCAAGTACAAAACTCTGCAGAGATGCAGACATTTTCCAGACCCCATATACAAAAGCCATATTTATATTTGCTAGTGATTTCGACAGTCCAATCCATGAAATAAAACGTGTGTGTCTATCTGATGCAGACCTTTCATTAATATATTTTATTGGTCTGGTCGAAAATCACAATGCATCATGGGGGATGTGGTTCTGTAACCGCTGAACCTCTACCTTTTAGTCACCCCTATTTTATATCGTACGCGATGATGGAGATTTACTGCGCTCTGTGTTCTGGATTGTTTTCCAGATATTTGTCTTCGATGGATCCGATGCATTTAACTGCTGCACCTTCATTTCCAGTATGAGCGTTCTGGCAGGAACGCAGGATGGTAACATATACACACTGGATGTCAGGAATACAAGGTGAGCATTTAATATTGCTTTCATGGGGGGGGACCATACAGTGAGAAGTTGTTTTTACAAGTTTTTTTTTGTTTCATTTTTCTCACAGGACCCCAGTGCAGACTCTGTGCAAGTCAGGGGCCCCAGTGCTTTCCTTGATGCCCTTTGGAGAAGGATTTATTGCTAGCCAAGGTATCCTCACAGACACAATATGGGCTTAAAGAGATGACATTTATTTAATAAGACAATATCAGTATTGATGGGGTGTTGTTTTGTTTTTTTTAAAGGCTTTACCATTTTTACTTAATGTAAATCGAACTTAAACATAGAAACATAGAAACATAGAATGTGACGGCAGATAAGAACCATTCGGCCCATCTAGTCTGCCCAATTTTCTAAATACTTTCATTAGTCCCTGGCCTTATCTTATAGTTAGGATAGCCTTATGCCTATCCCACGCATGCTTAAACTCCTTTACTGTGTTAACCTCTACCACTTCATCTGGAAGGCTATTCCATGCATCCACTACCCTCTCAGTAAAGTAATACTTCCTGATATTATTTTTAAACCTTTGTCCCTCTAATTTAAGACTATGTCCTCTTGTTGTGGTAGTTTTTCTTCTTTTAAATATAGTCTCCTCCTTTACTGTGTTGATTCCCTTTATATATTTAAATGTTTCTATCATATCCCCCCTGTCTCGTCTTTCCTCCAAGCTATACATGTTAAGATCCTTTAACCTTTCCTGGTAAGTTTTATCCCGCAATCCATGAACCAGTTTAGTAGCCCTTCTCTGAACCCTCTCTAAGGTATCAATATCCTTCTGAAGATACGGTCTCCAGTACTGTGTACAATACTCCAAGTGAGGTCTCACCAGTGTTCTGTACAATGGCATGAGCACTTCCCTCTTTCTACTGCTAATGCCTCTCCCTATACAACCAAGCATTCTGCTAGCATTTCCTGCTGCTCTATTACATTGTCTGCCTACCTTTAAGTCATCAGAAATAATCACCCCTAAATCCCTTTCCTCATATGTTGAGGTTAGAACTCTATCAAATATTCTGTACTCTGCCCTTGGGTTTTTACGTCCAAGATGCATTATCTTGCACTTATCCACATTAAATGTCAGTTGCCACAATTCTGACCATTTTTCTAGTTTACCTAAATCATTTGTCATTTGGCTTATCCCTCCTGGAACATCAACCCTGTTACATATCTTGGTATCATCAGCAAAAAGACATACCTTACCATCAAGACCTTCTGCAATATCACTAATAAAAATAAAGAGAATGGGTCCAAGTACAGATCCCTGAGGAACCCCACTGGTGACAAGTCCAAGCTTCGAATATATTCCATTAACTACAACCCTCTGTTGCCTGTTACTCAGCCACTGCCTTACCCATTCAACAATATTTGAATCCAAACTTAAATCAGTGTAAGTGAAATAGAACATACAAGGTTATTCAGGAAAGTGCGAATTCAACGTGCTTTTTACATTTCAGGCCAATTGGAAACATTCTGTTAGTTCTGTTTGGCAACTTCGGCCTAAAACATGAAATTCACACCTTGAATTCTCACTTTAGTAAAATGCCCTGAGAGTGTCTTTACTTGTATTCCTTCATAAAATGTAGGTTTTATAACACAGGAGGCTACTACCAATTTATCTCCATCAACCCCCATGTTCTTTGCATCACTCTGCTAACTGAATGTATCTGGCTCTGATAATTTTATCCATTTAAACCTCTAAAGCTGATTTGCTTCCTCGGTTTAGGTGATGGAACCTGTTTCGTTTTACAACAAGACTCTGCTCAGGTTCTGGAACTCATTGGACCAGACTATGACCCTGTATACAAGGTACGGTACCAGACTGTGGGGAAGACAGAGAGACCGTACAGTTATGTGACTATTTCTCCCCACTCTACTGTCCGTAGCGAGGGGTGGTATTTACAGAAAAGATTATCAATTAACGCTAGGGTTTTTCCTCGTTACGTGGATGCTCGACAATGTCCGCGTTCTGCCAATCCATTGTTTTCTCATAGAGAAGCATTAGCCGCGTTTGTAGACGATGATACCAAATGCAATTGTATAAGGTGTTTAGGAGGAAACTGCTCTAAAGGCTGTCAGTATGGCAAAAACTAGAGGCAAGTTCTCTGAGAAATGTAAACCTTTTTATTTCATGACCATGTTTTCAACAGTCCAAACAAAAAAGGAAGAATGAGGAGGTAGGAAAAGAATAATAAAATGTGTGCGCTAGCTTGTAGAAATTGCCAGGTCAGAGATAGGAAGTACAATTATTTATCTGTGATACCTGTATCTTAATGGAACTCAGAGACACTTTAGTGGACTAACAGCAGAAAGTCACCAACATATTCTGCTTGATTATAACCATAACAAGTGCTAAGAGGGGAGTTCTTTAGCCATTGCAATTCTCCTTTCCTACCCACAGCAATCTTGGGTAGTAGTTGTGGTTTTTTAACACAATAAGACTTCCCAAAGAGCTGGGACATGCAAGGTTTAGCTATGTTATTAGATGTCATAGACATTTCCGGTCCTTGAAGGCCATGAGGGAGCCAAGAGTTAGACAACTAGCCTTTAACTTTTCTCTGCTGATACAATGCGTGTCATTTGTAACCCTGCTCTTCTTATCGTTGTCCTGTTTGTGCTGTCTTGCAGGTGGCAGCCATGGATAAACTTGTCTATACTTGCTGTAGAGATGGAATTATCCGGAAATATCAGCTTACGGATCTGTGACCAACATGTGGAATATATGGAGGGATGATCGGGCCGAAATCTGACTGAAAAGATTTGTGCATTCTTTTGAAAAGACTCTAAGACTCTTATTTGTTAAAAAAAAAAAAAAAACTTGTATTAAATACGATTTCTTCATCAGTCCTATTTTTTGGACTTTCATTTGTAGTGACAAAAACATGTTACAAGGCTTAAAAATAAATATTTTTGTTTTGCTAGAAATGAATATTGATTATTTGTGGAAATGTTGTGTAAAATGCATATATTTATGTATGTAACATTTCCAAAAGCTGTTTCAGGTAAGAATAGCCGCTGTCTTCCTTGGAATGAACTGAGGTATCGCTACAAAGTTTCAAAAACAGACTAACTTTATTAGTTAAAAGTACAAAACACAAGATTTGCAGAAGCGCCCAGATGTGCTGCACCAACAGACACCACTTCACTTTTCGTTTATTCCTGCAGAGCTATTGGATAAAACCTGGATCACACTTGCCCTTGGCTGGGTCCTCAGGCTTACCAAACATTTAAACCCATCCAGCCTAACATCCCTTTGCTATCAGCCATTGTTGTATATCACCACAAAGCTATACACTGATACATGCATACAGTTAGCAGTTGTGGTGACATCCCACTTTTTCCCCTGCTACTTGTATGTCTCCATGGAGAGAAAGTGACAGAGGTCAAGTGTTGCATTGTTCTGACTCTGGTTCTAGGCACAACGTTTGGAACTACAGATGCCGTGGACTGGTCTGGTATCGAAGGGCGATATTGAATTAAAAAAAACTTTGATCACCCACACCCGTATTCAGAGGCCCCAGTTCCTGATAGCAGCTAGGGCCCAGGTTGATTTGGAGGGAGCTCTGCGATCCAGTCTCTGATCACCTGTGAGAAGCCTAATGGCAGAAAGTGTTATCACTTAATACAAGTTGTATTTATGTCTTAAGTGTCATTTAAAATTTATAAGAAGAAAAAAACAAGAAATAAAACATAATATACATACATGAGGTAAATGAAACAAAGTAATGATTGCCAATACCCCCAGAAATAAAAGGATTAAACCGCTGTTTAGAGGATATTCCCCTTCCAGATACACAGGCAGCTACCAAAGACACCAATCTGCCGAACAGGAAACCATACGAACGAGGTAAACAGCCGAATAGGAAAAACCATACGAAAGGTTTACACTCCTAGCAGTCGAACTGGAACAGCATACAATAAATCCCCCCCAAGAACAAGACAAAGCTCCATGTTGAGGGTCAAGCAGTAAACAGACAGAGCTGTGGGTTTATTGTTCTTATATACACATTCGTACCACCCACAGGGTTTTGTAAAACAACCAATAAACATGTACAATATACTCAGACACTCCCACACAAAATCCTCCCCTCTGCCTGTGATACAATTACCTTACACAATGGGTAATGTAATTATCACAGGCAGAGAAATAGTTTCCCCACATTATTCATAATTTTAAAAGTATGCATCATATTCACATAAATTCACTTACATTTTCAGAATCAGCATACTCCAAATACAAACATACGTCAAAATCATACAAATTGGTCCAGTGGTTCAAAAGATAGATCGTAGTCCTTTGTGACCAAATGAAGTATGGCTTTTCTGCCCAAAACCAGTTCCACAGAGTCTTCTATCCTGGAGATAATTGGGAAGTAATCCAATTATCTCCAAGGACAGAGGCAAAACTCCATTAACCACAGCAAAAGACAAAATACATAAAAATATATAGATGTGCAGCTATTCTGTAGTCTAAAGGGAGCAGGCAGGCAACCAGGCTCTTCCAATGCAATGTGGCGAGATTGCTCTCTTCACATGGTGTATGTATAAAGAATAATCTGAGAGACAGGTACATTCAACATATCCCCAGATAGCTCAGATCTGAGCGCACATTATTACTGAATGGCGCTCAGAGCAAACACATACAGTTCAATTGCCATGGAGCCAAAGTTTTTCCCATAGTCTTTCATTACACGAATAGGCTCCATGGCATAGCTATCTGGGGTATCACAACTCAAACAGGGCAAGCACTGAATGACCCGGTTTTCGTGTCTTTGCAGGGGAAAATCAAGCATTTCAACATGGGGCCATAGTCTAAAGGGAGCAGGGCCAGACTGGGGATACAAAGCAGCCCTGGAAAAAAAAATTGTGCCAGCCCCATAAGTCACTGCGCCATATATTGTTGCGTGTAATATGTAAGGCTATGTCTTGCCAGGACAGATGATTGAGTAATATATATATATATATATATATATATATATATATTGCTTTTTCTAATATAAAATATTGGTCCTTTCAGGGTAAAACGTTTAATTATACAGTAAGCATACGCACATGCAGACACAGGCAATTTCACTGACATTTCAGTGACACACACAAGCTCATTGATACACAGCCTCATAGACAAACAATCTTACTGATATACATCAGCTCATTGACATTAAAAAACACAAGCTCACTCACTAGCAGGCACACGCATGCAAGCAAGCTCACTCACTAGCAGACGCACACACAGCTTAATGTGGTGGTACTGGTGTCTATAGCATGTCGCTACAGGCTTTTCAACGTAAACACTGACTTTTCAGAGAAAAGGCAGTGTTTACATTGCTTCAAAGTGACACTGCTAGTGACAGTCACTCAGGCGGTCACTAGAGATGCTTCCTGTGTTAGTGCACCTACATTCAGGGCCTCCACACTCTGTAGGTGCTGAACGTTCCCCATAGAGATACATTGATTCAATGCATCTCTATGAGGAGATGCTGATTGGAGTGGCGTTTTGCAGCCAATCCTATGGCAAAGCATTGGATTGGCTGAGATCATCAAACTTGATGATCTCAGCTATAGAGGTAGGGACAGTCGAGGGGAGACCAGCACGCTGCGTGGGGAAAAAAAAAGGTGAGCAAAAACACTATTTTTAAACACACATTTACACCATGACAGACACAGAAACACACATATACCATGACAGATACACACCCCATGACAGACACACACACACCATGACAGATCATGACACAGACAGACACACACCATGACACAGACAGACACACACCATGACGGACAGATAGACACACACAACATGACGGACAGACACACACACACACACACACCATGAATGACAGACAGACAGACACACACACCCCATGACAGACAGACAGACAGACACACACACCCCATGATGGACAGACAGACACACACACCCCATGACGGACAGACAGACACACACACACACACACACACCATACAGACAGACACCATGACACAGACAGACAGACACACACACACCATACATACAGACAGACACCATGACACAGACAGACACACATACACACACCATACAGACAGACACCATGACACAGACAGACACATTACTTATACCTGCCAGGGGGAGGTCTTCTGGGGGCTGCTGGGGGACTGTTACCGCTGGGGAGGTCTTCTGGGGGCATCTGGGGGACATGTCCTGTCGGCCACTGGGGAGGTCTTTTGGTGGCCGCTGGCGGACTTGTCCTGGTGGCCGCTGGGGGAGCTGCTTCGTCTTACTTACTTCCCTCCTTGGTCGTCTTACTCCCCCACCTGTTCGTCTTACCCCCCTCCTCCCTGTGTTCTTCTTACTTCCCCTTCTTCTTACCTTCTTCTTCCTCCCCTTTCCTTTCTTCTTCCTCCTTCTTCTTCTTCTTCCTCCCCTTCTTCTTCTTGCATCTTTTTCTTTCTTACCCCTCTTCTTTCTTCTTACTCCCACTCTTTTTTCTTACTCACCCCTTCTTCTTCTTACCTCTTTATCTCCCTCCTGCTTACTCTCCCTCCCCCTTTTCTTACTCCCCCTCCTCTTCTTCTTACTCCCCATCTTTTCTTTAATACTCACCCCTTCTTCTTCTTACCCCCTCTTTTTCTATCTCTTTCTCCTTCTACTCCTCTCTTCTTTCTCTTATTCCCTCCTCTTCTTATTCCTCCCTCTCTCTTCTATTCCTCCCTCCCTCTCTTTTCTTATTCCCCTCCTCCTTATCACCTCTTCTTATTCCCCCCCTTCCCTCTTCTTATTCCCCTCCCTCCCCTCTTCTTATTCACCTCTTCTTATTCCATATGAACAGGAGTTTCATCCATTCATTTGTCAGAAAGACGAATGAATGAAAAGAAATGTCAGACGAACAAACAAACACTGAATATCAGTGTTTGTCCGTTCATTCAGTTTATTACAAGGAGGGGGCAACAGGCGCACAGCAGTCCTTGTAAAATGTAAAGATAGAAGCTAAGCCCCCCCATGTCCTCCCTCACTCCATGGGGGTCAATATGACCCCCATAATAGCATAAGGGAGATTAAAATCTCTTGAATGCCCCTACTCGTTATACCGCAAGTAGGGGCATGTCTACTAAACAGTGAGCAGCCTGTGGCAACATTGTATAAACCGCAAAAGTCTATTGATTTAATGGGTGGCCGCCGTTCGTATAACCGAACACTTGGCGGCGGTCATCTTTGCTCACGAACGCCCAGCGGTGTTTGGTCGTTGAGTGCATGGAACCAAAATTGGCTACTCGACCTCGCAAACACCGCTGGACTTCCATGCCGTTCATTTGAACAGATCCTTTCGTCGAAAGAGAGCGCCATTCAGTGAAATCAACCCCACGAACTGCTTATACCACACTAGCCAGTAAATTTGTATATTTGTTAATTTGTTCGTTCCCAGGAACTCCGGAAAGAAGACCGGTAAAAGTAGCCAAATACCTGTAACTATTTTGGGGCTTGCGCCTTGTGGCTGACCGGTCCATAACTTTATTCGAATGGCTTGTCTATTCTAACGAACGGATCTGAACGGTATTTCGCCAGATTGGGCGCTCAGATCCCAGCCATTCAATGTCGAGAAGTTCAGATGAATAGTTTTTAAGTTATGTATTTTTAGGCTATATTGTATACTTTTCTGTACGGAGAGATAATATAATTTAAGGTGTACTCTTACGCAAAAATCTCTCCACTACAGAAAAGCATGATGGGAGATTTTATTGCATGTTAAGTTTTCCACAGAGTCCACCAGGGGAAAGCCCCTGGAATGTCAGTAAGGAAACACCTTGCATGGGGATTTGTATATAAACGGTTGTGGTGCAATAAAAGTTTAGTTGACTCCCAAACTGTGTGTCGTCCAGTTCTTGGAAAAAAGGGATTATATCTACGCTACCTGTATTTTGTATGCTGACTAAAGACTACCAGCGGAGATATTGTGGATAGTGATGTCGCGAACGGTTCGCCGCGGACTCATCATTGAGTAAACTTTGACCCCAGGGCCGGCCTTAGGGGTGTGCGAGCTGTGCGACCGCACAGGGCGCCATGGAACAGGGGGCGCCCTGTGGCCGACACAGCTCACTCATGGCCGGAGTGCAGGGGAGCTAAAAAAGGGACCTGGCTGGAGGATTAATTATTCTCCACCTGGGTCTATTTAAAAAAAAAAAAAAAAATCGCGGCAGAGGGGGCGGGGTTTACCGAGCGGCGGAGGCGGGGCTTATCGAGAGGCGGAGACGGGGCTAATACCTCCCGAAGCCCCTGCTGTACAGGAAGAGGTAAAGATGCTTCCCCATCAGCCAACTGCATCCACTGGAAAGAGGTAAGTGTGTGTGTGTGACTGTTTGCCTGTTTGTGTGACTGTCTGTCTGTGTGTGTGTGTGACTGTCTGTCTGTGTGACTGCCTGCCTGTGTGCGTCTGACTGTCTGTGTGTGTGTGTGTGTGTGTGTGTGACTGTCTGTGTGACTGCCTGTCCTTGTGTGTGTGTGTGTGTGTGACTGTCTGTCTCTGTGTGTGTGTGTGACTGTCTCTGTGTGTGACTGTCTCTGTGTGTGACTGTCTCTGTGTGTGACTGCCTGCCTGTGTGTGTGACTGCCTGTGTGTGTGACTGCCTGTATGTGACTGACTGCCTGCCTGTGTGTGTCTGTCTGTAACTATCTGTCTGTGTGTGACTGCCTGCCTGTGTGTGTGACTTTCTATCTGTGTGACTGCCTGCCTGTGTGTGTATAACTGTCTATGTGTGTGTTACTGTGTGTCTGTCTGTGTGTGTGACTGCCTATGTGACTGTCTGTCTGTGTGTGTGACTGCCTATGTGACTGTCTGTCTGTGTGTGTCGCTGTAGCTGTGCCATTGTTTGTGCCTGTTGCCTGTATGTGTGACTGCCTTTAACTGAGTGTGTGTGTACATGCCTGTAACCGAGTTTAAATTTCCCCCACCCCTTCCTGTCAAGGCCGCACTTTGACTGACAGACGCTGACTCACTGACAGACGCACACTCACTGACAGACACACACTCTCATATACACTGACAAACAATGACATACACACATACACTATTACTTGGACACACACTGACAGATGCACACTCTCACTGACAGACGCAAGCACTCACTGAAAGATGCACGACTCCACTGACCGACACATACACACTGACTGACACACACTCACTGACCGACACACACTCACTGACCGACACATACACACTCACTGACTTACACACTCACTGACTTACACACTCACTGACCGACACACACTCACTGACGACACATACACACTCACTGACAACACATACACACTCACTGACTGACACATACACACTCACTGACTGACACATATACACTCACTGACCAACACACACATTCACTCACAGACACACACACATTCACTTACAGACACACACAATTACACACTTACAGACAGACACACACACACACACACACACATTCACTTCAAAATAAACACTCACAGACACACACACAGACATTTCCACTAACACTCACAAACTAATATTTTTTACATTTATTTTAAATCCACCCAGCCTCCCTGGGAAAGCTGGAGTGGATTTCTTACCAGCAGTCCAGTGTGGCTGCTGGGCAGGCAGGCAGGGGGCGCACAGGCTGAGTAAGCAGCGCTTAGTGATGCCGGGAGCCGGACTGACGTCATATTCTGGCTCCCGGCTTCATTAAGCGGCGCAGAGGAAGCTGAGCAGGAAGAGCTCAGGTGAGTATGCTCCTTCGCTGCCCGCTGCCAGCCTTGGGGGGGCTCAAAAGTGGCCAGCCGGTCAGCTCTTGAGCCCCCCAGGATGCGAGGCAAGCAAGGGATCTGCCTGGGGTTTGGAGGGATGCTTTTTTTTGCCGCCCCCTGCAAAGTGGCGCCCAAGGCAGATGCCTTGTTTGCCTCGTGATACACACGTCCCCGGTGCCTGTGTGTGTTACTGTATTCAGGCAACTTGGTGGGAGGTGGGGGGGGCGCCGTGAAGACTTTTTGCACAGGGCGCCTAATTGCCTAAGGCCGGCCCTGTTTGACCCTGTACCTCACAGTCAGCAGACACATTCCAGCCAATCAGCAGCAGACCCTCCCTCCCAGACCCTCCCATCTGCTGGACAGCATCCATTTTACATTCATTGTGAAGCTGCATTCTTAGTGAGCTGTCCAGGAGGTGGGAGGGTCTGGGAGGGAGGGTCTGCTGCTGATTGGCTGGAATGTGTCTGCTGACTGTGAGGTACAGGGTCAAAGTTTACTCAATGATGAGTCCGCGGCGAACCATTCGCGACATCACTAATCGCGGATTATACTACTACTCCGCTACAGGGACCTGAGCGGCAGGTGGGGACCCTAAATTAGAATAAGGGGGGGGACCTAATGTCCTCCCACCTAGCCCCCACCCCTGAGCGGCGGGTGGCGGCCCTAAATGAGAATGTGGGGGGTACCTATAAAATAATCCCCTACCCTTCCCCCTCACCCTAAAAATAGTGAGGGGGGAATAAAAGAACTAATTTCCTGTAAACAAAAAAACAACTTACCATTTGATATCTTCTTTTTTCCCCATAGAGAGGGGACCTATTGTCCTCCCCCTTCTCCCCCCACATTCTCCGAGGGATGGGGGCCAGGAGGGAGGACAATAGGTCCTACCCACATTCATATTTAGGGCCCCCACTAGGGCATTACACATACACACGGAGTACGTGTTACACGCATTACACTCACAGAGTACAACGTGGTACACGTATTACACATATATATATATATATATATGTACTCTAGACGTACGTGTTTTCGATGATTGAAATACATACATATTATTCACACGTGTGGATAAATAATAACTACAAGTGCTCATGCAGCGCTTTCCATGATCAGGAGGACTGAGGGAACACCAGGTGTCCCAGAGAGCTGCTGTGTGATTGTCAGCTCTGGGTTACACGTGCCATGTCTCTTTAAATGCAGATAATTCCCTTTATATGTCACTGGCGGCATGTGCGTGCATGCTCTCTTATTTCCACTAGATGGCGGTAGCGCTGTTGCTAGTTGGCTGAGCATGCAGATTTCTTGACCTCCACAAGATGGCAGTCACATTGTTACTGGCTGGTTGTGCATGTAGATTCCTTGACCTCCTCAAGATGGCTGTCCTGCTGCTGTAGGAGGACAGGAATGAGCTGTAAGGGAGAAGCAGCCCAGTCTGTTATATAGTCTGCCTGCAGGTAAGGACTCACACTGGGCTCTCCCTGCTGTGTGTCCATGTTACAGGGGGAGAGCATGGCTGCAGCAGGTCAACTCAGTGTGTGTAAATAGCACTTTACTTCATTAACCCTTTATTCTGCCAGTGTGAGCATTGCAGAGCCCCCCTGTCTCCTTCTACCCCCCTCAGACCATGCTGGTGTGCCCTGTCGTGAGTACCATGTCTGTGACCATGCTGGGTGTGTCCTGCCCTGTCAGTGAGAGCATTGCAGAGTCCCCTGTCTCCTTCTATCCCCCTCAGACCATGCTGGGTGTGTGCTGCCCTGTCAGTGTGAGCATTGCAGAGTCCCCCTGTCTCCTTCTACCCCCCCCTTAGACCATGCTGGGTGTGTCCTGCCCTGTCAGTGTGAGCATTGCAGAGTCCCCCTGTCTCCTTCTATCCCCCCCTCAGACCATGCTGGGTGTGTCCTGCCCTGTCAGTGAGAGCATTGCAGAGTCCCCCTGTCTCCTTCTATCCCCCCCTCAGACCATGCTGGGTGTGTGCTGCCCTGTCAGTGAGAGCATTGCAGAGTCCCCCTGTCTCCTTCTATCCCCCCCTCAGACCATGCTGGGTGTGTGCTGCCCTGTCAGTGTGAGCATTGCAGAGTCCCCCTGTCTCCTTCTATCCCCCCCTCAGACCATGCTGGCTGTGTGCTGCCCTGCCAGTGTGAGCATTGCAGAGCCCCCCTGTCTCCTTCTATATCCCCCCTCAGACCATGCTGGGTGAGTGCTGCCCTGTCAGTGTGAGCATTGCTGAGCCCCCCTGTCTCCTTCTATCCCCTCCTCAGACCATGCTGGCTGTGTGCTGCCCTGTCAGTGTGAGCATTGCAAAGTCCCCCTGTCTTCTTCTATCCCCCCCCACCCCCCTCCCCTCAGACCATGCTGGCTGTGTGCTGCCCTGTCAGTGTGAGCATTACAGAGTCCCCCTGTCTCCTTCTATCCCCTCCTCCGACCATGCTGGCTGTGTCCTGCCCTGTCAGTGTGAGCATTACAGAGTCCCCCTGTCTCCTTCTATCCCCCCCTCAGACCATGCTGGGTGTGTGCTGCCCTGTCAGTTTGAGCATTACAGAGTCCCCCTGTCTCCTTCTATCCCCTCCTCAGACCATGCTGGCTGTTTGCTGCCTGTGGTGTATTACCAAATTCTATAAATTATTATGTACGCATACACATATAAACTCTGGTCCGTCTACTTTAACAAATATTTATTCAGAGACAAAACAACAACAACATACAAATAATGACACACAATCTAACTATACCAGCAACAACAACCTAACTAACAATAACAACTACATCTTATAAAATCACCAGATCCCACTCACAGTTCACCGTGATAGAAATTAGGCCATGTCTGCTTAAGGGACTGCTCAGTAGCACAGCCAAGAAGGAACAGAGAGGAATGGAGATAGGGGGAAGTGGTTATCTCTTTCCTGACTAGTAAAGGTATTGAATTACTAATTAACATTTCAAAAGGGTAAAGCTTATCCCACTGTAAGAGCTTGGTCACATGATCCCTGGTCACCATATTAATTTGATGACAGAATGTCACCACACTGCCCTGTCAGTGTGAGCATTGCACAGTCCCCCTGTCTCCTTCTATCCCCTCCTCCGACCATGCTGGCTGTGTGCTGCCCTGTCAGTGTGAGCATTGCAGAATCCCCCTGTCTCCTTCTATCCCCTCCTCAGACCATGCTGGGTGTGTGCTGCCCTGTCAGTGTGAGCATTGCAGAGCCCCCCCTGTCTCCTTCTATCCCCTCCTCAGACCATGCTGACTGTGTGCTGCCCTGTCAGTGTGAGCATTGCAGAGTCCCCTGTCTCCTCTCTATCCCTCAGACCATGCTGTGTGCTTGCACTAGTTTGAAACACACAGAGTCCCCCTGTCTCCTTCTACCCCCCCCTTAGACCATGCTGGGTGTGTCCTGCCCTGTCAGTGTGAGCATTGCAGAGTCCCCCTGTCTCCTTCTATCCCCCCCTCAGACCATGCTGGGTGTGTCCTGCCCTGTCAGTGAGAGCATTGCAGAGTCCCCCTGTCTCCTTCTATCCCCCCCTCAGACCATGCTGGGTGTGTGCTGCCCTGTCAGTGTGAGCATTGCAGAGTCCCCCTGTCTCCTTCTATCCCCCCCTCAGACCATGCTGGCTGTGTGCTGCCCTGCCAGTGTGAGCATTGCAGAGCCCCCCTGTCTCCTTCTATATCCCCCCTCAGACCATGCTGGGTGAGTGCTGCCCTGTCAGTGTGAGCATTGCTGAGCCCCCCTGTCTCCTTCTATCCCCTCCTCAGACCATGCTGGCTGTGTGCTGCCCTGTCAGTGTGAGCATTGCAAAGTCCCCCTGTCTTCTTCTATCCCCCCCCACCCCCCTCCCCTCAGACCATGCTGGCTGTGTGCTGCCCTGTCAGTGTGAGCATTACAGAGTCCCCCTGTCTCCTTCTATCCCCTCCTCCGACCATGCTGGCTGTGTCCTGCCCTGTCAGTGTGAGCATTACAGAGTCCCCCTGTCTCCTTCTATCCCCCCCTCAGACCATGCTGGGTGTGTGCTGCACTGTCAGTTTGAGCATTACAGAGTCCCCCTGTCTCCTTCTATCCCCTCCTCAGACCATGCTGGCTGTGTGCTGCCTGTGGTGTATTACCAAATTCTATAAATTATTATGTACGCATACACATATAAACTCTGGTCCGTCTACTTTAACAAATATTTATTCAGAGACAAAACAACAACAACATACAAATAATGACACACAATCTAACTATACCAGCAACAACAACCTAACTAACAATAACAACTACATCTTATAAAATCACCAGATCCCACTCACAGTTCACCGTGATAGAAATTAGGCCATGTCTGCTTAAGGGACTGCTCAGTAGCACAGCCAAGAAGGAACAGAGAGGAATGGAGATAGGGGGAAGTGGTTATCTCTTTCCTGACTAGTAAAGGTATTGAATTACTAATTAACATTTCAAAAGGGTAAAGCTTATCCCACTGTAAGAGCTTGGTCACATGATCCCTGGTCACCATATTAATTTGATGACAGAATGTCACCACACTGCCCTGTCAGTGTGAGCATTGCACAGTCCCCCTGTCTCCTTCTATCCCCTCCTCCGACCATGCTGGCTGTGTGCTGCCCTGTCAGTGTGAGCATTACAGAGCCCCCCTGTCTCCTTCTATTCCCCTCCCCTCACCCCTTCTATCCCCTCCTCAGACCATGCTGGCTGTGTGCTGCCCTGTCAGTGTGAGCATTGCAGAGCCCCCCCTGTCTCCTTCTATCCCCTCCTCAGACCATGCTGACTGTGTGCTGCCCTGTCAGTGTGAGCATTGCAGAGTCCCCCTGTCTCCTTCTACCCCCCCCTTAGACCATGCTGGGTGTGTCCTGCCCTGTCAGTGTGAGCATTGCAGAGTCCCCTTGTCTCCTTCTATCCCCTCCTCACACCATGCTGGCTGTATGCTGCCCTGTCAGTGTGAGCATTGCAGAGCCCCCCGTCTCCTTTTATCCCCTCCTCAGACAATGCTGGCAGTGTCATGCCCTGTCAGTGTGAGCATTGCAGAGTCCCCCTGTCTCCTTCTATCACCTCCTCAGACCATGCTGGGTGTGTGCTGCCTTGTCAGTGTGAGCATTGCAGAGTCCCCCTGTCTCCTTCTATCCCTTCCTCAGACCATGCTTGGTGTGTGCTGCCCTGTCAGTGTGAGCACTGCACAGTCCTCCTGCCTCCTTCTATCCCCTCCTCAGACCATGCTGGGTGAGTGCTGCCCTGTCAGTGTGAGCATTGCAGAGTCCCCCTGTCTCCTTCTATCCCCTCCTCAGACCATGCTGGCTGTGTGCTGCCCTGTCAGTGTGAGCATTGCAGAGTCCCCTTCAACTTCTGGGTCCCTCCCTGTGACCATGCCAGGCTTTGTGTGCTGCCCTCTGTCAGTGTGAGCATTGCAGAGTCCCCCTGTCTCCTTCTATCCTCCTCAGACCATGCTGGGTGTGTGCTGCCCTGTCAGTGTGAGCAATGCAGAGTCCCCCTGTCTCCTTCTATCCCCTCCTCCGACCATGTTGGCTGTGTGCTGCCCCTGCACTTAATCTGGGGCACAATATTAGGATTTGGGGTGTCTGTCAATAGGTTGTACCCAGTGATTTAATGTGAACCTAGCTGCAGTACTAACTGTGTGAGTGTATTCTAATGGGGGTGGGGGAATTTAAAGGTTTATGATGTTTCAAAATAAAGTTTATTTTATTTATTTACTTTTGGTGACTTTAACAAATATAACTTGTAAGATAGATTGTTAGTACTGAGGTTTTTACTTTTACCAGTTATCTTTAGCTAAAAGTAATTTGTAAAAACTTAATGCAAAATTTAGACTGTCTAAGATAACCTTAAACACATTTGTTACCAAATCTTTAAGTAACACTATAGGGTCAAACATTAAAACCACCATCTAGCCCTCCTTGCCTCCCTAAATATAGTAAAATCTTATTTTTATTCAAGTCTTCAGCTGCTGTCTCTGCCCCGATCTGCCTGCTCTGCTGACATCATCAGAAATGATTCTCTTAGCCAATCATTGGCTTTGCTGAGCTTGTAAAGGAGGCAGAGCCAGCACAAGCCAAACACAGCCCTGGCCAATCAGCATCTCCTCATAGAGTTGCATTGAATCAATGCATCTCTATAAGGGAGGTTCAGTGTCTCCATGCAGAGGGTGGAGACACTGATATGTTGTGATGCACACTAGGCAAGACTGAGATAGGAAGCACCTCTAGCAGCCATCTGAGGAGTGGCCAGTGGAGTTATCACTAGGCTGTAATTGTAACATATTCATCCTCACCTTGCGGTCAGCGGCCATGCATCTGCATGAATGACACTTGCGGCATGTTAATGGATGCCGGCCGCTGCGGATCCAAGGCTAATTATACCCCCACGCTCGCTCACGTAACTGACGACGTCGGCGTGCACGTCGCGCCTGCACGTTTTGGGGTCAAAGAGCGAGCACAGCCAATCAGAAAGGTAAAGCAGGCATAAAAGCCTAGAATTACCTTTCCTCATTGCCCTGTCGCTCATTGCCCTGTCGTGGTTCCCCTAGTGGTTTTCCCAGTGGTGTATCCTGGTTTTGTGCTGCCCTAGGCAGGACAAAACTCAGGCACCCCCTCCCCCCGTGCCACCTCCACCCAACCCTTCCCCCCACCCCGCCTTCTAAATACACACACATTCACTGATAGATACGCATACACCAGCTAACAGAAACCGGGTAATGGGGCCAGGGTGCTATTTTGGCAAATGAAATGTAGTTTTTACAAGATAGCAGAATGTATAATGTCTATGGAACTATCTTTTGCAGATATTACAAAACACGTTTCCAGATGAGAGAAACAGACTATCGGAATTCTGACATCTATGTCGGGAAACTCTAACCAAACTTACTTTTAACTTAGTGGATCAAAATTGAAGGCTTGACAAGTTAAGGGAGGTTCAAAGCAAAATTCTGGGAGCATCTTCATAACCGACTCATGAGACACGAAGTTAAGAATCCAATGACTGACAAGATCTTGAAACTTACCCTGGAAATTATCTATCTGTTGACGGGAGAGGTGAGGGGTTTTGGGCAATGTAACCATAATATATCACCAGGCAAGGTTACCCAGAAAACCAAACCCATTTTATTCTTTATGGGCTGCCAGATCCACTGTATTTTCCTGGACACATGGTGGTCCTATTAGTCTTTTTAGTCCTTATTCTGCAGGAGACAATTTGTCAGTCGACAAAGGCAGTTCCTCTGAGATTCCCTCCTGCCTCGTGTGAATTCCAATTAATTCAGGGCTGCACTATTTATTTGCCAAAAATCACCAAACAGACTTAATGTGTCTGAAAAACCATGATGGGCTTGGAATCCCAATCTAGAAGGGTGACTTTTGTCTAGGAATTTTTAGCAGGTGACTTTTGTATAGGAATTTTTACAGTTGCTTTCTACGTAGATTTGGGAAGCAGCCTGAATGATGACTTCCACCAGTTACACTGATCATTGATAAGGCATTGCTAAGAAAATACGTATTCTGGTCGGATTTGGGACAAGACGTATGTTGATTTAAAGGTGATGTTCATTGCCTTATTCTCCATTCATTCCTTTTATATCTAGGATTATATTGTCGTGAAAAATAAGGGTGATAATGTCGCAGGGGTCCGCGGCCTTTGTGCAACGGAGAGTGTCTGCAGGACTCAAAACCCTGTGATGGCTCCTCATAATTCGTTGGAGGAGAACAGTGAGAAGAAAATCCTTAGACTCGCCAACAAAATAGTCAGCCTTCTGACCAGAGAGGTGAGTGATTGGACGGAAATGTTATGTAGCCCATGGGTTTGATCTCCTAACGGAAATTTCTGGTAAACGACAAAAAATTTCCCATTTCAGGTTTCTTTGCGATGCGACAATGAAGCTGTAACTTTTTCGAAGAAAGAAGGAGACTATTTAGAAGAAGATAAGGATCCTCACAAAGATGTGGTGGGAGAGAATCTGTGCTCCGTCAGTTCTCAGGGTAAAAAGAGCGAATGCCAAGTGTTGGGTAATTCAGGGAGCAGGTGATGACGTTGAAATAAATAAAACCTGATTCTTGGAGCGTTAGTAATGGACACTTTGCTTTTGTTTATATTTACTTCTTCTCTTTTTAGAGATATATAAATATATATATATATTTTTTTTTTATATATATTCGGAAAAATCAAGTCTGTCCTGCGACTTCCTGCAGGACTAGATATTCCTATTCGGCAATATATAAGAGCAATTAAATGGACACTGTAGTCATAAGAACCATAATGTAGTGGTTCCTGTGTGTATAGCCTGTGCCCAGGGCCACCATCAGGGTGTGACAACTTTCTTTCTCTGCACACATAGATAGCGAATATCGCCATCTATGTGTGCAGCCGCGGGCCCCCGGCTCCCAGTTACCACAGAGGGGGCCCAGCACACAGTTTTAACTCTCGCGAGACCTGGTTACCATGGCAATGCTCCGCGGGTCTTGCTAGAGGTTTTAGAAGAGAGGAGAAGAGGCAGTCTGCTGGGCCCCCATGCCACCGGACCACCAGGGATCATGGAATCTCCCCCCTCCCTGGACACAGGTAAGCAGGGAGGGGGTAGAAACATTTAATTAAACTTAATATAAAATTTAAAAAAATAATGGGAAAATGCCCATCCCCCCCCAGTTTGCACATTTACACACACACACTGCATACACTAACACAACACACACACTGCATACATCAACACACACACTGCATACACTAACACAACACACACACTGCATACACTACACTGACACACACTCTGCATTCACTACACTAACACACTCTCTGCATTCACTACACATTACACTAACACACACTGTGCATCCGCTACACATTAACACATTCTGCATTCACTGCACTAACACACACTACATTCATTACACTGACACACTCTGCATTCACTACACACTGACACACTCTGCATTCACTACACACTAACACACACTCTGCATTCATTACACACTAACACACTCTGCATTCATTACACACTAACACACACTCTGCATTCATTACACACTAACACACACTCTGCATTCATTACACACTAACACACACTCTGCATTCACTAAACTATGCACACACTTCACTATACTGACACACACTCTGCATTCACTACACTAACATACACTCTGCATTAACTGTACACACAGCATCCACTACACAAACATCCTGTATTCACAGTACACACACTACATCCACCACAAATTGAAACACTCTGAATTCACTCTACACAGACACTGCGTCTAATACATCCACTACAGACACTGCATCCACTAAACACATTTCATCTAGTACATACAAACACTACATCCACTACACAAACACACACTACATCACTGTACACACACTACATCCACTACTCAAACACACTCTGCATTCCCTATACACACTGCATCCGCTACACAAACACACCCTCTGCATTCACTGCACAAACCGTATCTAATACACACAAACACTACATCCATTACACACATTCTAATTCACTTCCACTATACACACCACATTCAGTCCTGCATCATTGTCAGCGGACTAGGTAGGGTGTGGGCGGGCCCGGGAGGGGGGCCAAGACCTTGTGCTTTGTCAGGGGCCGCAAAAATTCTGATGGTGGCCCTGCCTGTGCCTGTAGGCATTTCAATGTAAACACCTTGGAACACCTGGTAGCAGTTACACAGACGTGCTTCCTAGTCCAGTGATGCACAGCGTGCAGCACTGGTGTGTAGCATTTCCACGCTTTGCATGGAGATGCTAAACGTTCTCCATAGAGATACATTGATTCAATGCATCTCTATGAGGAGATGCTGATTGTTGCAGCACAGTGTTTTGCCTTGTATGCGCATAGCCTCCCAATGCTTTCCTATGGGTAAGAATTGGATTGGCTGAGATCATCAAGATTGAAGATCTCAGTCATGCAGGTGGTGCTAGCTGCCGCGAAACTGGCATGGGAGAAAAGGTGAGTAAAATCCCCTTGTTACTGTGAGTGGAGGGTGCCAGTCACTCAAACAGCCACTCCAGGACTATAGTGTCAGGAATGCATGTTTGTATATATTTTTTTTTTTTTTGCCTTTGGCTTATTAAGATAAAAATGGAAGTGTAACTTTTTTGTGAAACTTGGGATGCACATGGCTTAGGAATAAAGGCAAAGAAATCTGTCATGTCCTGGCAGCTGCTTGCATCGATGTTCATGGCGTGACTGGCATTCCCTAATGCTTAGCATGTTAGCCATCGTTTCGCAGCCATTGTGTACAGCTTCTGCATCCATTAGGGCAGCATCTTAAAGGGAAAAGAAGGTTAACCCCTTAAGGACCAAACTTCTGGAATAAAAGGGAATCATGACATGTCACATATGTCATGTGTCCTTAAGGGGTTAAATGTTGGTCTCACAGTAATCATGTGTAATATTACACAGAAATCACAATAATGTGGAAATAACAAGACCAGTCTTAACAATGTTGTTGTATTAATGCTTGGATTACAGGAACAAACTGTTAAAACATTCTCTGATTTGAAAATGCTGTAATAAAGTGTGGATCCTGAACTCTTTGTAAATTGCCAACCCCCGTAACTCTCAGCCAGGCCTTTCCTGATTGAGAGAGATGGAAGTTAGATGTCTGTGATTCCATATTGTAGGTAGTTGCCTTTAAAAAGAAAAAAAAAAAAAAACCCTATCCTAATACCACCTATCCCTTGTTAAAAAGAGAGTAGTTTCTGAACATTATCAATGTAACATTAATTTTGTTATGAGTACTAGCAAACATCTGATATATGTAGACAGTGAGGGGCAATTTCATCTTCAATTTCTTTGGAAGCTTGATGTCATCATTTGTCATGTTTATCTACTGTATTTGTAAGCATACAATAACAATATTATGTGAAATGTTCTCATCAGAGATTATTCAAAGTCAATCAGAATGGAATGTGATCGACTCTAAGGAACGCCAAGACAAGAGCGTGCAAACCGAATTCTGTACAGGTCAGTGATATAAACACACTGAGACACTTACTGTATATTAATATCTTACACACAGTGTGCTGGCAGTGATATACACAGCCTCTGCTAACACACTGACACACACTGTGACACAGAACTACTGAGACACTTATTGTATATTAATATCTCACACACAGTGTGCAGGCAGTGATATACACACCCTCTGCTAACACACTGTGACACAGAACTACTGAGACACTTATTGTATATTAATATCTCACACACAGTGTGCAGGCAGTGATATACACACCCTGTGCTAACACACTGACACACACTGAGACACTTACTGTATATTAATATCTTACACATAGTGTGCAGGCAGTGATATACACACCCTCTGCTGACACACACTGAGACACTTACTGTATATTAATATCTTACACATAGTGTGCAGGCAGTGATATACACACCCTCTGCTAACACACTGACACACTGTGACACAGAACTACTGAGACACTTACTGTATATTAATATCTTACACATAGTGTGCAGGCAGTGATATACACACCCTCTGCTAACACACTGACACACACTGAGACACTTACTGTATATTAATATCTTACACATAGTGTGCAGGCAGTGATATACACACCCTCTGCTAACACACTGACACACACTGAGACACTTACTGTATATTAATATCTTACACATAGTGTGCAGGCAGTGATATACACACCCTCTGCTAACACACTGACACACACTGAGACACTTACTGTATATTAATATCTTACACACAGTGTGCAGGCAGTGATATATACACCCACTGACACACACTGTGACACAGAACTACTGAGACACTTATTGTATATTAATATCTTACACACAGTGTGCAGGCAGTGATATACACACTGACACACACTGTGACACAGAACTACTGAGATACTTTACTGTATAGTAAAGCATTCTCTAAGTACCATAACTACAACAAAAGCTTATTGTAATGTTTAGTAACACAAAACCTGCCCACTTTTTATCTACAGTGATAATATGGAAACTACACTTCTGTGGTGTTATCGAGTGTGTTTCCTTACAATCTGTCCGGCAATGAAAGGTTGAGGTTGCAGGGCTAACCTACTACTGCAATTGAGTAGGTTTTTCTGAGGCTTTACACAGTGTATTTGGCCCAATCCAGTTATCTCGTTCAGTATCTGTGACGTGCCACCGACATATAATCTTTTACTGTGTTAGAGAACACGCTGCCAGAGCCTAGATTTTCCATATCTACAGCAGAAGAAATGAGAAGATTGCATCCCTCCGAGATAGAAGAAAATGAATTCACTAGTCCAGAGTATAAGGTATGATTTACCAGCAGTTACCTTACATAAATCGCCATAAGATGTTGTTTGTTGGATTTTGCCAGCAGCATTTCTACTATGATGCCTTAACCCCTGGATTGTTCTGTTAAATTCACTGCTGCTGTGCATGCAGGAATAGCGGTAATATGTATCACATGTATTGGGATTCCCTACCTAGTAGATGGAGTGGGTAAAGTGGCACAAGACGTAAGGTTATCATGTACCCCATGTAGGTTCCTAGAATAGTTTACAATGAAGGGTTAGTTTATCGGATAGCACAGTTGCAGGAGAGGAATCGGTGCAGTTGGGAAAGCTATTAAACCCTTAAGGACACATGACGGAAATATTCTGTCATGAAACTGTGTCATTTAGAGGTTAACGATTTAATTGATTTAGTTTCCTAAAGAAGTGAATTTTAAATGATTTTGTGACGGAACTGAGACTGGGTGAAAGTCTAACGGAGCAGGGAAGGGAGTACCATAGGATCGGTGCGGCCGTAGAGAGGTACTGAAGGCGAGTGTCAGAGATCCGAGTACAAACAGAGGAGAGGAACCTTTTCGGTGTTTGATACTGTTCAAATGCTTGAATACCTGGGAGTACACAAAAAGAAAACCTCTGTTTCTTAAAGATTCAAATGGAATGCCTGTTTCTATTTGTTTCCCTGAATATCTCAGTTGTGTGTTGTGATATGTTGACCAGCAATATAATTGTGACTGATTGATCTTGTGTTTTAGATGGAGCAAGGAGTCAGGATATGTACTGTGCAATGTAAGGAGGAAGAGTTTCCTACAGAGATCAGCCCAGGTGAGGCATAGATTATTTGTGTATGTACTGTCAGACATAAACAATATTCTATCTGGGACTTAGGTGGCTGATAGAATTATAGGGAAAGGTAATCTTGGAACACAACAACTTTCTTTATAGAAAATGTTTTTTAGAATTAAACCCAATTTGAGCTGTCCCAAATTTTTTTTATTCTTTAACCCCACTATGAGGGCTCTTGAGAACATCACAAGTGCTCTCATGTGCAGATCCTAGAGTGTATCAGTGCATCTGGAGCAACACATTGTGAAAAAGTCACGCAAAGGTGACACAGACCATATTGTGTTAGATTTTTGCATCCATTGTACTGCAAGCCCCAATTAGCACAATAGTGATTGCTTGTGTTAAACGCTGTCTCTGTATATATAAAGTTGATTACAATATTTTGTCCACTCCAGTAGATGTCCCAGGCGATGAGGAAGCTCAGCCGGAAGAACGCAGTATTTATTTTTCGACTCCAGAAAAGGTCATAAAAAATAATATGATCAACCAAGATGATAAAGGAAAAGAAGTTATAAATTACAGCTCGTCTAGAAAGCATTTGAAAAAAACAGAGACCGTTTCAAGTACAGACCCGTCTTTCCCTAAAGATCTGAAACCTGATGAGGATTCAAGTCTTCCCCTCCGTAAACGTTGCAAGGATAGCTTGGCGGCACAGAAAAACCAAGAGGATTTGTTTGGAAATTCTTATGAGTGCAGGAAATGTGAGATAAGCTTTAATGATGAGTTGGCTTTTCTGTCTCATGAGAAATGGCACGGGGTCGAGCTTTACAACTGCACCGAATGCAGAGAATGTTTCACGGACTACGCAGATTTTGCCACACATCTAACCACTCACAACGTGCAATACTGGAAACATTTATTTTCACAACCCAGATCTCACCCGCTACAGACGGTTCATGCAGGTCAGAAACCATTCACCTGCTCCGACTGCGGGAAGTGTTTTGCGTATAACTCAGCCTTTCTCCGTCATCGGAGAATTCACACCGGAGAGAAACCATTTGTTTGCATTGAATGTGGGAAGTGTTTTTCTCAAAACACACATCTGGCTAAACACCGAAATAAACACAACACAATGAAGACAGTGTAATAATTGAACATCTCACATTTTCTGTGTTTTTTTTTTTTTGTTTTGTTATGTTTCATATTTAGTTTACAAACTATTTCTCTATTGAAAAAATAAATAAATCAAAAATAGAATTTATTATACGGTTATTCTTGTTTCTGATGCAGTCCAGAGGGGGACATTGAGTTGTATGTTATACTAGGTACCCACAATTGTATGTACATCGGTTAACTCATTAGTTATATGGTAAAACATACAAAATGGCTGCAGTTTCTGGATTATGGGATCTTGAAGGATGCACAAAGTTCCAAGAAGCATCTCAAAGCAGACTATTTAAACACGATGTATACATTTATTTTCTTTTGATACCACTTTTCTTTTCCATTTAAAAAAAATAAAAAAAATTTGTGGTCATATGACTCCTTGTACCATTACAAAATTTCCGATCTGTGTGTTATTACCTTAATTGTATAAGCCTGGTTGGAAATAAAAAAAAAAAAAAAAGTTTCATTGCTGAAAAAGTATTTTTGTCAAGTTATTAGGTACTTCATTAACAATGAGATTTTCAAATTTTCTGGTAGGAATATAAATGAGGAGGTAGTGATTGGTTGCGCATCACTTTATTCCATTGATGCAATTTATTTACGGAGAAACACAAAGCACAACAGGTGATAAAATAGTGAATAAACTAAAAGTCCTAGGAAGGGAATAGTACTATAAGCAACACAGCTGAATGTGAGTATTTTAACTAATACACTATATGTAGCATCCTTTATTATTGTTATGTAAGCTCCTCCTGTGTCCACATCAGATGTTAACCAAACTGGAAGAATTATATCTTCAACCAGTAGATTCCATTTTTAGGATCTGCTGAAAAAGGTCATTTTTTTTCTTGCTTGAAATGCGTATCCTAAACGATTTGCCATCATGCACTCTGTCATCTCTCATTTAATCTAGTTTATATTTTGTCCAGGTCAACTAAACCATGATAATGAAGACAAGCTTATCGAAATACAAATTTACAATATGTATATAAAAAAAAAAAAAAAATCTTAAACCTTTTGGTCCCAGCCCACTTTGGAGAGACATACCACAAAATTGTGTGCCTGAACAGATGAATTATGTTTATGGAATAAAGGTGGATCTGGGGTATGTAGCACCCTTCAAAGTATGTGCTCAGGATTAAACAACAAGTTATTTTACTGGGAGACATTATTATATTATTTATATAGCGCCAACAAATTCCGCAGCGCTTTACAGTGGGTGGACGAACAGACATGTAGTTGTAACCAGACAAGTTGGACACACAGGAACAGAGGGGTTGAGGGCCCTGCTCAATGAGCTTAAATGCTAGAGGGAGTGGGGTAAAGTGACACAGTAACAGAGGGATTGAGGGCCCTGCTCAGTGAGTTTACATGTTAGAGGGAGTGGGGTATAGTGACACAGTAACAGAGGGATTGAGGGCCTGCTCAGTGAGTTTACATGTTAGAGGGAGTGGGGTATAGTGACACAGTAACAGAGGGATTGAGGGCCTGCTCAGTGAGTTTACATGTTAGAGAGAGTGGGGTATAGTGAGCTTGCAGTAACAGAGAGTTGAGGGTTTACTCAGTGAGTTTACATGCTAGGGAGTGGGGTATAGTGACATACAGTAACAGAAGGTTGAGGCCCCTGCTCGGTGAGTTTACATGGTAGAGGAGTGGGGTATAGTGACACAGTAGAGGGATTGAGGGGCCTGCTCAGTGAGTTTACACACAGAGTTAGTGGGGTATAGTGACACAGTAACAGAGGGATTAAGGCCTGCTCGAGTGAGTTTACATGTTAGAGGGAGTGGGGTATAGTGACACAGTAACAGGGAGGGATTGAGAGAGCCTACTCAGTGAGTTTATGTTAGGGGAGTGGGGTATAGTGACACAGTAACAGAGGATTGAGGGTTTGCTCAATTGAGTTTACATGCTAGAGGGTGGGAGTATAGTAGCACATTAACAGAAGGATTGAGGGGCCCCTGCTCAGGAGTGAGGTTTACATGTTAGGGGAGTGGGAGTATGGTAGCACAGTAACAGAGGGATTGAGGGCCTGCTCAGTGAGGTTACATGTTAGAGGGAGTGGGGTATATTGACACAGTAACAGAGGGATTAAGGGCCTGCTCAGTGAGCTTACATGTTAGAGAGAGTGGGGTATAGTGACACATTAACAGAGGGATTGAGACCCTGCTCAGTGAGGTTACATGTTAGAGGGAGTGGGGTATAGTGACACAGTAACAGAGGGATTGAGGGCCATGCTCAGTGAGGTTACATGTTAGAGGGAGTGGGGTATAGTGACACAGTAACAGAGGGATTGAGGGCCCTGCTCAGTGAGGTTACATGTTAGAGGGAGTGGGGTATAGTGACACAGTATACAGAGGGATTGAGGGCCTGCTCAGTGAGTTTACATGTTAGAGAGAGTGGGGTATAGTGACACAGTAACAGAGGGATTGGGGGCCTGCTCAGTGAGTTTACATGGTAGAGAGAGTGGGGTATAGTGACACAGTAACAGAGGGATTGAGGGCAGGCTCAGTGAGTTTACATGTTAGAGGGAGTGGGGTATAGTGACACAGTAACAGAGGGATTGAGGGCCCTGCTCATTGAGTTTACATGTTAGAGGGAGTGGGGTATAGTGACACATTAACAGAGGGATTGGGGGCCTGCTCAGTGAGTTTACATGTTAGAGGGAGTGGGGTATAGTGACACAGTAACAGAGGGATTGAGGGGCCCTGCTCAGTGAGTTTACATGTTAGAGGGAGTGGGGTATAGTGACACAGTAACAGAGGGGTGAGGCCCTGCTCAGTGAGCTTACATGTTAGAGGAGTGGGGTATAGTGACACACACAGTAACAGAGGATTGAGGGAGCCCTGCTCCGGTGAGCTTACATGTTGGGGAGTGGGGTATAGTGGCTTGCAGTAACCCAGAGGGATTGGGGGCCCTGCTCAGTGAGCTTACATGTTGGGAGTGGGAGTATAGTGACACAGTAACAGAGGATTGAGGCCTGCCAGTAGGAAAACACATGTTAGAGGGAGTGAGGTATAGTGACACAGTAACAGAGGATTGAGGCCTGCTCAAGTGATTTACATGTTAGAGGTGAGGTGCGGTAGCACAGTAACAGAGGGATTGAGGGCCTGCTCAGTGAGTTTACATACTAGAGGGAGTGGGGTATAGTGACACAGTAACAGAGGGATTGAGGGCCTTCTCAGTGAGCTTACATGCTAGAGGGAGTGGGATATAGTGACACAGTAACAGAGGGATTGAGGGCCCTGCTCAGTGAGTTTACATGTTAGAGGGAGTGGGGTATAGTGACACAGTAGCAGAGGGATTGAGGGCCTACTCAGTGAGTTTACATGTTAGAGGGAGTGAGGTATAGTGACACAGTAACAGAGGGATTGAGGGCCCTGCTCAGTGAGTTTACATGTTAGAGGGAGTGGGGTATAGTGACACAGTAACAGAGGGATTGAGGGCCCTCCTAAGTGAGTTTACATGTTAGAGGGAGTGGGGTATAGTGACACAGTAACAGAGGGATTGAGGGCCCCGCTCAGTGAGCTTACATGTTAGAGGGAGTGGGGTATAGTGACACAGTAACAGAGGGATTGAGGGCCCTGCTCAATGAGTTTACATGTTAGAGGGAGTGGGGTACAGTGACAGTAACAGAGGGATTGAGGGCCCTGCTCAGTGAGTTTACATGTTAGAGCAGGGGTTCTCAACCCAGTCCTCGGGACCCCCTACCAGTTCAGGGTTTAGGGATTACCTGGGTGTGTCTAAGGTGTTTAAGGTGTTTTTTTCCCCTTTTTCTAAACACCTTAGACACACCCAGGGAATCCCTAAGCCCTGGACTGGTAGGGGGTCCTGAGGACTAACGTTGAGAACCCCTGTGTTAGAGGGAGTGTGGTATAGTGACACCGTAACAGAGGGATTGAGGGCCCTGCTCAGTGAGTTTACATGTTAGAGGGAGTGGGGTATAGTGACACCCATGGCACAGAGGATTGAGGCCTGCTCAGTGAGTTTACATGTTAGAGGTGGGGTATAGTGACACAGTAACAGAGGATTGAGGGGGCCTGCAGTGAGTTTACATGTTGGGGGTGTGGTATGAGTGACACGTAACAGAGGGATTGGGGCCTGCTCAGTGAGTTTTACATGTTGGGAGTGGGGTATAGTGACACACGTAACAGGGATTGAGGGCCTGCTCAGTGAGAGTTTTACATGTTGGGAGGTAGGTTATAGTGACACAGTAACAGAGGGATTGAGGCCCGCTCAGTGAGCTTATGTTGGGGAGTCAAGAATTATAGTGACACAGTAACAGAGGATTGAGGCCTGCTCAGTGAGCTTACATGTTATAGGGAGTGGGGTATAGTGACACAGTAACAGAGGGATTGAAGGCCCTGCTCAGTGAGGTTACATGTTAGAGGGAGTGGGGTATAGTGACACAGTAACAGAGGGATTGAGGGCCTGCTCAGTGAGTTTACATGTTAGAGGGAGTGGGGTATAGTGACACAGGGGAGGGGTGGCAGTGACACAGTAACAGAGTGGGACTGAGGCCCTGCCTGTGAGGCATGGGTGGCAGTGACACAGTAACAGAGAGATTGAGGGCCTGCTCAGTGAGTTTACATGTTAGAGGGAGTGGGGTATAGTGACACAGTAACAGAGGGATTGAGTGCCTGCTCAGTGAGTTTACATGTTAGAGGGAGTGGGGTATAGTGACACAGTAACAGAGGGATTGAGGGCCTGCTCAGTGAGTTTACATGTTAGAGGGAGTGGGGTATAGTGACACAGTAACAGAGGGATTGAGGGCCTGCTCAGTGAGTTTTAATGTTAGAGGGAGTGGGGTATAGTGACACAGTAACAGAGGGATTGAGGGCCTGCTCAGTGAGTTTACATGCTAGAGGGAGTGTGGTATAGTGACACAGTAACAGAGGGATTGAGGGCATGCTCAGTGAGTTTACATGTTAGAGGGAGTGGGGTATAGTGACACAGTAACAGAGGGATTGAGGGCCCTGCTCTGTGAGTCAGTGAGTTTACATGTTAGAGGGAGTGGGGTATAGTGACACAGTAACAGAGGGATTGAGGGCCCTGCTCAGTGAGTTTACATGTTAGAGGGAGTGGGGTATAGTGACACAGTAACAGAGGGATTGAGGGTCCTGCTCAGTGAGTTTACATGTTAGAGGGAGTGGGGTATAGTGACACAGTAACAGAGGGATTGAGGGCCCTGCTCACTGAGTTTACATGCTAGAGTTAGTGGGGTATAGTGACACAGTAACGGAGGGATTGAGGGCCCTGCTTAATGAGCTTACATGCTAGAGGGAGTGGGGTAAAGTGACACAAAAGGATAGTATTAGACTAG